CGCAGTGGCTGAGACTGCTGCTTCAGCGCAGTTTCGTTCGGGGAAGGGCCGCCGCCCCAAGGTTGGGCGCGGCGGAGGCGGAGGCGGGGGTGCGGGCGGGGGTAGTGGTGGGGTCGGGCCGTCTGGTGCTGGAGCGGACGAGGGGACCCTGCCCAGTCCAGCTGAGACGCCGCCCCTGCAGTTGCAGCAGCCGCAGGAGCCGTCGCAGTCGCAGCCTTCGCAACAGCCGCAGCAGCCGTCGCAGACACGGCAGACGAGTGTCCTCCCGCCCGGGTGGCCCGGCGCTGGCGGTGGCCGGGCGCGTGGTGGTGTGCCGAGTGGTGGCTCTGGCGTCGGGCGTTGTCAGTACCAGATCCAGACCGGTCCTCGCCGCGGCTTCATTTGTGGTAAGATCGGTCACTCCACTCCCCGCTGTTTTCGTCGCCTGGATGACCTCTTTCGTCAGCGCTTCGGCCCGTCGCCAGACCTCCCGGACTGGCACAGTTTGCTTAGTCGTAAGATTCAGATCTTTGATATGGACATGGATGCCATTGTTTCTGCTCTGCATGTGATGTATGCTGATGACTCTAGTGTGCTTCCAGCTTATTACTCACTGTTGCCTAGTGTAGGTGTGCCTAGCGTAGCCTCTCCTGCTGCGTCAGGCGTAGGATCCTTTGCTTTGTGTAGTCTTGGTGCTTCCGCCGTCGTTCCATCGCCAGACGCCTCTGCTTCGCTTTCCTTTACCTTGGACTCTGGCGCTTCTCGGTGTTTCTTCCGCGACTCCACCACCCTGACGCCGCTTCCTGTTCCTGCTGCCGTTTCTCTTGCTGACCCCTCTGGTGGTCCGGTAGTCGCCCGCAGTTCCACCACCCTTCCCTGTCCGGCGGTTCCTTCGGGCTCTCTTACAGGTCTGCATATCCCCTCGTTCTCCAGGAACCTAGTTGGTGTCGGCTGCCTCCAGGACCTTGGCGTCACCACTACGTTCCCTGGTCACGAGCGGTATGCTGTCTGTACCGAGGCCGCCACTGGTGCCCCCCTGTCCACGTTCCCCCGGGACCCGGTGTCCGGCCTGTTCACTCTGGACACCGTGACCCCCCCGGCTGGGGCGCCCCCTCAGGTGGCTGCGTCTACCCCGGTTGCTGCTGCCTGCTCCTGTCGGTCCCTCACTCACCCGACTCTCCTTTGGCACCACCGCCTAGGTCACCCTGCGCTCCCGCGTCTGCGTCACATGTCCCAGCACGGTCTTGTCCTTGGTCTCCCCGGTTCTCTCCCCGCGTTTCCCTCCTCCCCCGCCCCCCCTTGCACGCCCTGTGTCGAGGGTCGGCTTCGCCGTGCCCCGCACTCCTCCTCGTTTCCCCCTACCGCCGCACCGCTGCAGACCCTGCACCTGGACGTCTGGGGCCCCGCCCCCGTCCCTGGGCCGCGTCGAGAGCGCTACTTCCTTGTGCTAGTCGACGACTTCACTCGTTACACCACAGTCTTTCCCCTGGAGCGCAAGGCCGACGTGCCTGGTGTTCTCATCCCCTGGCTTGTCTCTGCGCGTGTCCACCGCGGTCTCCCTGTCTTGCGTCTTCACTCAGACCGTGGTGGCGAGTTTGCCTCAGGTGTCCTTGGTCGCTTTTGTCGTGCGGAGGGCATCACCCAGACGTTCACCCTACCGGACTCCCCACAGCAGAATGGGGTCGCTGAGCGACGCATCGGTTTGGTCATGGAGGTGGCTCGCACCTCCATGATCCATGCCAGTGCACCCCATTTTCTGTGGCCGTTTGCTGTGCGCTACGCTTCTCACCAGCTTAACTTGTGGCCGCACCCTCAGCAGCCGCAGGTTTCGCCGACCCGTCTTTGGACTGGGTCTCCTGGTGACGCGTCTGCGTTCCACGTCTGGGGCTGCCTCGCTCACGTTCGTGCCTCCGGCACGGACAAGCTCACTGCCCGCACCCTTCCCTGCGTCTTCCTCGGTTTTTCCCTTGACGCGTCCGACTGGCACTTTTACCACCCGCCGTCTCACCGCTTCTTTCACTCTCGCGACGTCACCTTTGACGAGTCCGTTTCCTACTACCGTCGCTTCCCCCACCGTGGTCCCCCGGTTACTCCCCCCCTGTTCCTGGTCACTCCTTCCCCGGTAGTCCCTGCCCCTCCTCCTCCTCCTCCCCGTCCCGCCCCCTCTGGTGTGTCCCAAGTCAGCCCCCTTCCGTCGGCGGACCCGGTTGAGGAGTCCTCTGACTCTGGTGGCCCTCCTGTGCAGTCCTCGCCGGCCGCCCCTCCCCTGGCGTCCCCTCCCCAGTCCCCTCCTCCACCGCCTCTGCCGTCGCTGCAGCCGTCGTTGTCGCTGCCGCCGCCGCCGCCGCCGTCGCAGCCCCCGTTCGCTGACTCAAGGGGTGCTCGTCCTGGTCGCCCTGGGGGTGGCCCCTCTGGGGGTGCTGGTGTGGAGAGTTCCGGTGGTAGCCGAGGAGCAGCTTGTGGTCCAGGTGTCGCCGTTGTGCCGCCGCAGCAGCAGTCCCCGCCGGTGTCAGCCCTTCGCCTGCTCGGCCTTCCGTCCCCCGACCCTGCGTCTGTTCCTCCCCGACCGTCTCCTCCTCTTCCTGTCTCCGGCCCTGTTTTCCCTCCGCCGGACTCGTCCCCGGCCTGTCTCCCCCCTCGTTCCCCTCCTGTGTCCCCTCCTCTGTCTCCTGACCCGACTCCTCTGTCGCACGTCTGGTCTCACCGTCCCTCCGGTGATCGTCCTGCCTCGCCTGTCTTGCGCTCCCACCCTATGTTGCTTCGTTCCCACGCGTCTCGTCCTCCCCTTCTGCCGTCGCCTCCTCCGTCCTCCCTTGTTGTTGCACCCCCCCCGCTGTCTGACTACCTTCGTGCCGCTCGTCCCCTCGTTCCTCGGGTCCTTGCCTCTCTCGTTACCGACCCGTCTGTTCCGGTCTCGTGCCTTGACGCTCTTGTCGCTGCTGTCGCTGACTTCGCCTCTACCCGCTGCCTTGACTACGCCACAGCTCTGGTCTCTGACCCTGCCTGTCCTCCGTCTGTCGGGGGTGCTCCTGCTCTTGGCAGTGACGTCCTGGAGGACCGCCAGTTCGAGCTTGCTTTCCTCTCCGAGGCTGCTCCCCATCTCTGTTCCATGCTGCTAGTCCCTCAGGGTGACCCAGACGCTTTCGACATCCCGACCCCTCGCACTTACGCTGAGGCGACTTCGGGACCCTGGGCCTCACAGTGGATAGCTGCCATGGAGCAGGAGATGGCATCTTGGAGATCCACCGGCACCTTTGTCGACGCAGTTCCCCCACCTGGGGTGAACGTAGTCGATGGCCGCTGGCTCTTCAAGGTGAAGCGCCCTCCTGGAGAGCCGCCTGTGTTCAAGGCGCGCTATGTGGCTAGAGGCTTCAGTCAGCGCGAGGGGGTGGACTTCTTCCAGACCTTCGCTCCGACCCCGAAGATGACTACTCTTCGGGTTCTGTTACACCTAGCTGCTCAGCGTGACTACGAGCTTCACTCCCTCTACTTCTCCACTGCCTTCCTTCAGGGCAGCCTACACGAGCAGGTCTACTTGCGTCGCCCTCAGGGCTTTACTGGCACCTTCCCTCCTGAGACCCAGTGGCTCCTCCGGCGCCCCGTCTACGGCCTGCGCCAGGCTCCCCGTGAGTGGCACGACACTCTCCGTGCTACGCTTGCTGACCTGCAGTTCTTTCCGTCTTCCGCAGACCCTTCACTCTTCGTTCGTGCTGGCCAGACTCCGTTCTTCATCCTTGTTTACGTCGACGACCTGGTCTTTGCCACAGCAGACAGGGACGCACTGGCCTCCGTGAAGGCAGAGCTGCTGAAGAGACACACGTGCACTGACCTTGGAGAACTGCGCCGCTACCTTGGCTTGCAGATCTCCAGGGACAGAGCATCGCGCACCATCACCCTGACTCAGTCACACTTGGTGCGCCAGGTCCTTCAGAGGTTCGGCCTTCAGTTCTCCTCTGCACAGCCCACCCCTCTGCATGTAGACCACAGACTCTCCGCTCCAGTGTCTGAGGAGTTGGTAGAGCCCAGTGGCCCCTACGCAGAGCTGGTGGGTTGCCTCATGTACCTGATGACTTGCACTCGCCCAGATCTCGCATACCCTCTCAGCATCCTGGCTCGCTTTGTGGCCACAGGCAGACACCGACCGCAGCACTGGTCTGCCGCTAAGAGGGTTCTGCGTTATCTTGCTAGTACATCGGGCATGGGGTTAGTGCTAGGAGGACGCAGGCCAGTGGTCCTTACTGGACACACAGACGCTTCGTGGGCAGACGACGCCGAGACACTCAGGTCTACCCAGGGCTACTGCTTCAGCCTTGGCTCAGGTGCCGTGTCGTGGAGAGCTATCCGCTCCTCGTCTGTTGCCCAGTCCAGCTGTAAGGCCGAGATCTACGCTGGTGCCATGGCGGCACAGGAGCTTCGCTGGCTGACCTTCTTGCTCACTGACTTAGGTGAGCGGCCTAGCTCTGCCCCGGTCCTGTTCGCTGACAACAGTGCCATGATCCTCCTGTGCCAGGAGCCTCGACTTGAGGGCAAAGCGAAGCACATTCAGCTGCGGTACTTCCTCCTGCGTGAGCTACAGCAGCGACGTCAGGCTCGCGTAGTACTCTTGGCCTCAGGTGCCAACACGGCTGATATCTTTACGAAGGCGCTTGCGCCTAAAGATCATCAGCGGCACTGTGTACAGCTTGGTCTAGTTCCTGTAGCCTCTCACTTGCTAGGACCTTGACTTTGTACTGTCCTTTATTTGTATACTCAGACTGGACTTGTGTCCTCTCCCAGTGGCTGGACTAGTAGTGCCGCCCTGCTCTTGTTTTTGCCTTGTCTGTACTCCTTTTGACTGGTCTCTCAGACCCTTGTCTCAGAGGTTGGACTAGTAGTGCCGCCCTGAGCTGCTTGTTTAGGACATTCCCCTATGCAGTCTAGGGGGTGTGTCAAACATGTGTATTAGTCATGTTTGTATAGACTGTATACGGTCACCTCTTAGAGGGTACATGACTTAGGTATATCTGTGTGTACTCTCACTCTATCAACAACACACTTTTCTAATTCTGATACAGCCCTGCTCATGACACAGCTTCCCAAACTCAATGGTGCTACAACTGAATTCCAAGCTAGGGAACAAAATCATTTTACTACCCTACTCTGCACCTTGACTGCATACGAGTCAAATGCCTTCCCTATCCTAGTCCAACACGTGTTAATAAATACTAGGATAGTCAATAAATACTCTGCAGCTGGAGCGTGGAAAAGGCACACCCGTTGCCCCAGCCACAAGGCTCAAGGGCGGGCCGGCAGGTGGAGGCTCCTCCCGGGAGGCACCGCACCACAGATGCCGCACAGACCGCAGCCATGCAGCCGGGTTTGGACTCTGTTTTTTCACAAGGCTCAAAAGCGGACCGCCAGATGGAGAGTCCTATGGAGAGGCACCACACCACAGGGGCCGTGCAGGCCGCAGCCACAGCATGTAACCTGCCCACAGGCCATGCGAGTACTAGGTGGGCGATTGGCTGTCGTTGCGGGGGGGCCGTCGCAGTGGAAGTCATTGCACAACATGCGCAAGCCACTCGCACCAAGTGCATGTGCCAGCTGCTTGTCTTGGTGTGCGACAGGAAAGGCACTGTGAGAGGCACAAGGTGGACTGGACTGTATCCCATCCCACATGCACCAAACCGGTGGCTTTTCTCTCCATGTCCCCTCACCAACTCTGCCCCCGTCTCTCTCTGCACTACCTTCTTCCTGCAGTGATGTCGTCAACACCCGCCACCACCTGCACTGCATCCTTGTCCCCACCCACTCCCACAGGCCGTCCCACAGCCAGACCCTATTCCACAAACACTCTTTCATTCTCTTCCTCCCTCCCCCTCCTTACACCTTCCTGTGCATAAACCCACACGCACTCACTATCTCACTCTCTTTCCCTGCTCCTCACACCTTCCTATGTGTGAACCCCACCACCAGCGCAGTGATACCCCGCCCCATCCCTCGACAGCCACCGCTCCTCGGCCATTCCCAGCAGCTTCTTTTCTTGAGGCGCAAAACACGTTCCATTCTCCCTCCTTCCCACTTTCCCTTCCCCCCCACCCCCTTCCCCCTCCTTACACCTTTCTATGCGTGAACCCCACCACCAGCGCGGTGATATCATCCACATACCCCGCCCCATCCCTCGACAGCCACTGCTCCTCGGCCATTCCCAGCAGCTTCTTTTCTTGAGGCGCAAAACACATCCCATTCTCCCTCCTTCCCCCTTTCTCTCCCCCCCCCCCCCCTTCCCCCTCCTTACACCTTTCTATGCGTGAACCCCACCACCAGCGCGGTGATATCATCCACATACCCCGCCCCGTCTCTCGACAGCCACCTCTCCTTCGCCATTCCCAGCAGCCCCTTCACGCCCGCCTCGATGCTCCCCGCCCCCACCACGACCTGCACCGCCTCCTCGTCCGCCACCCACTCCCACAACCCGTCTGACCCCAGCACCAGGAAGGCGTCTGATTGGTCGAGACGACGCACCACAACCTGCAAGGAAGAGGAGAGCGAGGAGACACAAGGAGGGGAGAGAGGGGAGAAAGTGGGTCTCGGGTGGTAACAAAGCTCCCGCCACCAGCACCACATGCACCACCTCCTCGTCCCCCACCCACTCCCACAGCCAGTCCGACCCCAGCACCAGGAAGGCTTCTGATTGGTCTAGGGGGGTAAAAAGGACAATGAGAAGCATGAGTTGTAACGGAAAGGGCTGACCGGAGCACCAGGAGAGCGTCTGATTGGTTGAGATGATGGATGGTCATTTGTCAGGTGGGATGAGAGGGGCAGCGGGCAGAGTTTGTTTTGTGGTAGACACAGATTGAAGGAACGACGGTGAAGCAGAGTCACAGCTGTGGAGCCATGACAACAAATGAAAAGAGCATGTTTTAGGAGCGGAGGAGGCCCGAAACAGTGTGCGCCAGTTTATCCACAAGGCTGCAAGCAACTCATGGGCACTCCCAGTACAGGGCCGCCCACTATTAGCACCATGCATACTATCACACTCGCTAAGAGCACATCGCTGCAACTCATGTCCAATCCCAGCGTGGGGCATGCGCCACAGGATCACACATCCCATATTTACGCACCACCGCACACACACACGCACCTTAGGAGTGGCAGAAGCGCCAACAGTGTGAGCCAGCTTGTCTCCAAGGCTGCGACGCATAGCAAGTCCCAGCATGGGGCATGCAGCATAGGTCCATAACCCATCGTCCACATACCACGCAGGACACACACGCGCACCTCGGGAGTGGCAGAAACGCCAACGGTATGTGCCAGCTTGTCTCCAAGGCTGCGACTCATGGCAAGTCCCAGCATGGGCCCTGTCTTCATCCACACTCTGAACGGGCCAACGTCATCCCCATTCTCGTCCACATCCCTGCCATTTATCATGCGGCATGTATGCAAGGAAGTATGTCATGTGCTCTTTATGACGTGCCACATGTGTAGCAGTCCCAGCACAGGTCGTGCCTTCATCCACACTCTGAACGACCCCACATCGTCCCCATTCTGGTCCACATCCCTGCCATTTAATACATCGGGCCATGGGTTACATGACATGTGTAACTCCCGGTGCGCCATGGGAAATATGTCGTTTTCGCTATCAGTGTGCCACATACATGCATGCGAGGCCCAGCGAGTGCCTTGTCTTCATCCACAACTGAATGGACCACCTCCTCCCATTCCCATCCACATCCCTGGATGCGCCATCGGTCATGCGCCATCAGCCATGTGCCATAACATGTGTGCGTCATACGACGCGCTATTCGCCATGCGATAGAACGTGCCGTGAGATATGTGTTTGTGACAAGTGCCACACGCCCCATATGCCATGTGCCATGAGCATGTCTCATGCCCATGCATTACAATACGTGCCATGAACCGTGCCTCTGAAGCTTACTACTGCACGCTGCCTTTACTGGCCTCTATCCTCGCCCTCTCCTCCTCGTTGTGCGGCTTGTGCTCGGCTGATAGCTTGCCCTGCCAATGATCAGCGCATGCGCAGTGCACCACCCACCACCCTCACTTACTGCTGCACGCTGCCTTCACTGGCCTCTATCCGCGCCCTCTCCTGCTCATTGTCCGGCTTGTGGTCGGCTGATAGGCGCACTGCCATCAGATCATCGCGCTCTGCAGGTGAGAGAGAGGGGAAGCGGGAGAAGGAGGGGCCGACAGGGAAAAAAAGAAAAAAAACAATAAAGAAAAAAACAATAAAGAAAAAAGAATGTCGGGCGATCTGGAAACCAGGAAGGGAAAGAGCGGAGCCATCACGTCATCGTGCTCCATGGAGCCTCCCCTCCTCTCCCCTCCAAACCCCCTCCGCTCCCCTACCCTACTCATGCTTACCCCCTGCTCCTCATTTGCACCTCCTGCCTATCTCCCCCATATCATCCCCTCCATCTCCTCTCCTCTCCCCCCCCTTACCCCTTCTTGCCTCTCACCTCATCTCCCTCCTCTACTCTCACCTCATCTCTCCCCTCTCCCCTCACCTCCTCGCTTCCCTCACTTCTCACCTCCTCTATCCCTTTAACCCCTGAACTCCTTCCCTTCCTCTCTCTCCCTCCGTCCTCCCTCTCAAATCCTCCCGCCTTTCTCAATCTTCTCACCTCCCCCTTCTCGTATCCTTGTAAGCACAGCCCCCGAGTCTTTCCCCACGCCACTGCAAGCTGCTGCAACTCTCCCTTCCCGACCCTTCACCTTCCTTCCTCACCTGCTCCCTCTCGTCTCTTTGCCAGCACACCCCTCCAGTCGGGTCCTCCACCCATTCACTCATCTACGTGCATCTCATTTCTTGGTCTGCTCACCTCCTCCCTCTCTTCCTCACCTCCCCCCTCTCTTTCCTCTCGCCTCCTCCTTCTCTTTCCTCTCACCTCCTCCCTCTCTTTCCTCTCACCTCCTCCCTCTCTTTCCTCTCACCTCCTCCCTCTCTTTCCTCCCACCTCCTCCCTCTCTTTCCTCTCACCTCCTCCCTCTCTTTCCTCTCACCTCCTCCCTCTCTTATCTTCTTACGTCCTCCCTCTCTTTCCTCTCACCTCCTCCCTCTCTTTCCTCTCTCACCTCCTCCCTCTCTTATCCTCTTACCTTCTCCCTCTCTTTCCTCTCACCTCCTCCCTCTCTTTCCTCTCACCTCCTCCCTCTCTTTCCTCTCACCTCCTCCCTCTCGTTCCTCTCACCTCCTCCCTCTCTTTCCTCTCACCTCCTCCCTCTCTTCTCACCTCCTCCCTCTCTTTCCTCTCACCTCCTCCCTCTCTTATCCTCTTACCTCCTCCCTCTCTTTCCTCTCACCTCCTCCCTCTCTTTCCTCTCACCTCCTCCCTCTCTTTCCTCTCAACGTCCTCCCTCTCTTATCCTCTCACCTCCTCCCTCTCTTTCCTCTGACCTCCTCCCTCCCTCTCTTTCCTCTCACCTCTACCCTCTCTTTCCACTCACGTCCTCCCTCTCTTATCCTCTTACCTCCTCCCTCTCTTTCCTCTCACCTCCTCCCTCCCTCTCTTTCCTCTCACCTCCTCCCTCTCTTATCCTCTTACCTCCTCCCTCTCTTTCCTCTCACCTCCTCCCTCTCTTTCCTCTCACCTCCTCCCTCTCTTTCCTCTCAACGTCCTCCCTCTCTTATCCTCTCACCTCCTCCCTCTCTTTCCTCTGACCTCCTCCCTCCCTCTCTTTCCTCTCACCTCTACCCTCTCTTTCCACTCACGTCCTCCCTCTCTTATCCTCTTACCTCCTCCCTCTCTTTCCTCTCACCTCCTCCCTCCCTCTCTTTCCTCTCACCTCCTCCCTCCCTCTATTTCCTCTCACCTCCTCCCTCTCTCTCTTTCCTCTCACCTCCTCCCTCTCTTTCCTCCCTCCTCCCTCCCTCTCTTTCCTCTCACCTCCTCCCTCTCGTCTCCGTGCTCGAGTTGCCCCTCCTACGCCACAGCCAGTCGCCGTTCTATAGTCCTCCGCCCACTTTCGTTTCCTACCTATGCGCCTATCTCTCCCTTCTCTCTCCTCCTCTTCGCCTTGTCAGCACAGCTCTCGAGTCTCCCACCCACGCCGCTCCTCTAGAGTCCCCCATCCTCACAATTCCCACCCCTTCACCAATCTCTCCTTTCCTCACTTCCCCTTTCTCTTCCCACCTCCTCCCTCTCACCTCCTCCCTCTCACCTCCTCCCTCTCACCTCCTCCCTCTGATCTCCTCCCTCCCTCTCACCTCCTCCCTCTGATCTCCTCCCTCCCTCTCATCTCCTCCCTCTCGTCTTGACATGCACGGCTCTTGAGTAACCCACCCACCCACGCCACAGCCAGCCGCTGCTCTAGAGTCCCCCACCCACCCACCTAGACATGGGCATGAGCCGAGCCTGGCTCGGCTCGGCTCGTTTGGGGTCGAGCCGAGCCGGCTCGCCGGTCGAGCCGGCTCGGCTCGCCTCGAGCCGGGTCCTCAGGATCCCTGGCTCGGCTCGTGAAAATGGGGTCGAGCCGGGGCCGGCTCGCCGGCTCGCCGGCTCGGCTCGATTCGTCAGAGGGGCTTGTGCGGGCTCTCAATTGGGGCCACGGGGTTTGGGGTCTCTAGTATAGGGGATAATCCATATTATTTAGCTGATCGTCTGCTCCTACATCTTACAAAACTATCAGGAGGAGCTGCCGGTTTAAATATGGCTGGCTGAGGTCGATAGACTAGCGCGACAGGGTGAGGTTAGGGTTGGCAGACAATATTGGCAGGGGGGGGGTTGTCGATCTAAAATTTGACAGTCGCGAAACCCCCCTTTCCCTAGCCACGAGCCGGCTGGCTCGAAATCGAGCCAGCTCGAGCCGGCTCGACTCCGGCTCGCCTGATTTCACGTTCGCGAGCCGAGCCGAGCCGCCGGCTCGAGTCGAGCCGAGCCGGCTCGGCTCGAGTCGAGCCGGGTACCAAAAAAGAAGGCTCGGCTCGCCTTAAAGGCGAGCCGAGCCGAGCCGAGCCAGGTGTGGCTCGGCTTGTGCCCATGTCTACACCCACCCACTCTCGTTTTCTACCCATGCATCTCTATCTCTCCCTTCTCTCACCTCCTCCCTCTCGTCTCCTGGCCAGCACGGCTCTTGAGTCGCCCACCCACGCCACGGCCAGCCGCTGCTTGTATAGATGAGCGACCACCGCTGTGGTGCCGCTTATGTTGCAATCGAAGGAGGCTGTAAGGGGTATGAAAGGAAGAGAGGCGCATATGGTGTAAGGGGTATGCTTGTGCAGCTGAGCTCACTTCGTTGAGGTGTTGCTTGTGTTGCAAGTTGCAACCGAAAATGGCTGTAAGGGATATGGAACGGAGGAGGGAAGCACATGATCAGGCATAGTCTGTACAGTAGAGTGGTTCTGTCTATGCAGCCATCGATTGTGGTTGTCTGGGTCTGGGCGGTAGAGCACTGACGCGTGTATAAACATTCTATAAGGGGCACAGCAGGGGGAGAGGGCTACAAAAAAGGCTGTAAGGAGTACATGGGATGGGATGGATGGGATGGGATGGGATGGGATGGGATGGGATGGGATGGGATGGATGGATGGATGGATGGATGGATGGGATGGGATGGGATGGATGGATGGATGGGATGGGATGGGATGGGATGGGAGCTGCGGGAGAAGAAGGCGAGTGAGATGAGATGAGCAGCTTGCAGGAACGAGGTTTAACAGCTTTCGGACCCCCACTCACTCATATGCCACCACACCACACCCCACACCACACCACACCACACCCCCACCCCACTCACTCTCCTCCAGGGCTGCACTGTGAACTGCCAGAAACCCATCTGATAGGGCCTTCTCTGGGTCCGTGAGAAGATCTGTGCCGTCCATTAGCATCTCTGGAAGCCGGTCCTGGTGTCATGGGGGGTGTGGTAGCAGGGTGAGATGAGCAGGGATGGGTATGGGAGATGGTAAGGCATGGCATGGAATGGTGCATGGTGGAATGGCAAGGCATGGTGGGTGGCATCATGGCAAGGCATGAGAGGATGGCAGGATCATGAGGTGTGGAAACATTTGAGGTAAAAGAGTTGAGGTGAGCAAAATAAAGGGAAGAAATATATATATATATATATATATATATATATATATATATATATATATATATATACATAGGGTGTGTGTGTGTGCGTGTGCGCTATGTATGTGTGTGTACATCGCCAGACTTACATACAACTTGTACATTGCATACATAGAGCAGAACGTGCTTACATATGTATGTGCAATAAAGAGACGGGGGGTAAGAGGGAGGGGAGGAGACAACAAGCAAGGAATGGGGGAGGCCTGATATACCTTGATAAACTTGGACACGTCATGCCCTTGAGGCCCGTGGCCATCAAACACGCCAAAGATGAGCGACCTGCACAAACGAGTATTTCCACACAGGGGGGGCAGCAAGGGTGTTAACAGGGCGTAGTTCTGAGGCGCCACACAACTAGACGCCACGCCATGCCCTTGATTCCCGTGGCCATCAAACACGCCAAAGATGAGCGACTTGCATGAGCCAGTATCCACGTAGGGGGAGCGGTAGGGGTGTTGCTTTTTAGGATTCCCAAACACCAGCTGAGCTCTCTGAGGAAAGTTGGTGAGGCCACCACCACAGACAGGAGAAGACTACCGCTCAAGAAACTCTATTTCTGAACCTCTGTTCATGAAGCACCACAAGGAGAAACTCATGCTGTAAAGTGCACAAAATTCACTTCACGACAATCGCGCTGTTACCCTTATTGCGCAAATACACGTTTCCTGTTCTAACTGCACATTAATCATCACATTCGTACACTCACTTTTTATCTTTCGTGCGCATGAAACAGTACGCGTCTTGGTTCGTCTTATGAAACCCGTCCTGCTGCCCCGCCCACGACATGCACGCCACGCGGCACACCACGGGCTCGTCCGGAGCCGGCGACGACGATCGCGACGACGGGCGCGACGACGGTCGCGAACCAGGCCGCGACGACGGTCGCGAGTTCGGTCGAGAGGTGCCTGACGAGCCGGGCGCGCGCGAACTGCTCGACGCCGCGGAAGCGGCGGAAGCAGACGCGGAAGCGGAAGTGGAGGAGCCGGACGTGGGCGGTTTGCCGTCGGACGAGGCTGGGTTATCGGCAGTAGTGGTGGGGACGGCGGCAGGCGCGTCGTCGGTTGTTGTGGTGGATGCTGCTGCTGCCAATGCCGCGGCGACAGCAGCAGCAGAAGCGACGGAGCCCGGTGTAACATCTGCCGGAAACGCGTCCGCTGCTTCTGCGCTAACCGCGCTCTCCCCAGCCGCCTTACTCCCCGCTCTCTGCGCAACATCCTCCACCCCCCCAGCAGCTGCGGCGAGGTCTTCCGCTGCAGCTGCCATCCGCATTCCCCCCGCCATGTCCGTACTAGAGTGCGCCTCGGACTCGCAGATAGATACGGTCTCCCCCGCAGCAGCGGAAGACTCCCCGTTGATAAGCCGAGGGCAAGGAGAATCTTTGTTGACCTGTTCAGGGCGAGTGCCGGACTGATTGCTCTCAGCTGCGGTCGCTGCTTCTGGCGCATTTTGAGCCTTGCATTCCTGACATTGCTTCTGGTGATCCGCTTCCTGCTTTCACGATCGCCGTGCGGCAAGCAGCAGGGAGTGGGGGGGTAGGAGTGAAGGGATCAAGGGCAGGGAGAGGAGGAAGAAGAGCGACGAATGTGGACGGACGAGACGGCACGAGGAGAACGCTAGTGAGAACGGTGATGGGGAAGAGCACTAAGGGGAATGGGAGCGGTAGGGGGCGTAATCGCGAATGTAGGCATGGGGAGAGGACAATCATGAAGTAACGGTAGTTGGCGCGTGGAAACCGTACCTTGCCACAGGAACACGGATTACCGAGCCACGCTGGCTCGTCTAGGACGGCTGACGCAGATGCACTCATGCTACAAGTGGAAGGAAAACCGTACAGAAGTAGCGAACACGAGCGACTCCCGTCAAACACTAGAAAACTCAGTAACAGACGGGATCAGCTAATCGAAGGCCACCGCGAAATGCGGACCGAGAATGTCGACGAAAAGCTGCTCACAAGTACTACAGTGTCACTGGACCGGAGTGGGGGAGGCTGGCAAAACAAGCTTCGATTTTCTGAGATGGTTGGAGGAAGGTAGAGGACAAGGTTGGCAGCTTTTGCTTTGCTTGCCCCTCCCGTTGATGGGTTCGGTCCGGGAAGAAGGGCGAAGTGGAGCGTTTTGCAGCGTTTTAGGGTGGTTTGGAGCGGAACCAGACTGGTGATTGATGGTCGTCAGGAGACTCAGGTTCCTTCCTGAGCAGGAGTCGTGCAGCCTTTCATTCTAGTCAGCGATGTGACTACAGAGGGCGATATCTGCTGAGGTGTCACCGACAACGCTGTCTTTTTCCAGGTAGTCCTACCAATGGATATGACCCCATGTCATACTCGTGCTGGAATTGTCGATTCCTGCCCAACCAATGCTCGTGTGTGTGTGGACGAGAGTTATGTTATCAGGGGGAATGCTAACGAGGATAGATCCTGTACTCACCATCTCCTGCAACTCGTTCAAACCAGCCAAATTCTGGAGCCATATTCCTGGCACGCTGGATTGAATCCACGAGAACTCTTACAATGCAGTCTAAAATCTTCGTTGGTGGACTACCATGGCAAACCACGTCCAACGATTTGGTTGAGTACTTCCAACAGTACGGAAGTGTCATCGATGCAGGCTAGTGTCACTTAAAACGACATGCCATATTTCCCTCCTGCCATAATTTACAACCCTTGCCATTGCAATGCAGTTGTCGTGAAAGATCAAGCGACAGGCAGGTCGAGAGGGTTCGGCTTCGTCACCTTTCTTGAGCCGTCTTCCGTGACTAAGTCTGTGACGGCTCCTCCTCATTCGATCTTAGGACGGTAAAAGCTTGTCGCAGCCTCGTCTTTCCGTTTCGAACCATTTGCTCCACTCACTACCGTTCGCAGGCTAGTGGAAGTCAAGGAGCCAGAACCGCGCGGAAAGCAAGTCGTGTTGAGACCAGTAAGGACTGAATGGGAGAAAACCGATATCTGTACCTGGATTCTTTGAAGGGTGTTTCCCTGGTTTGAAAGCCATGACTAAACAAAGAGCCGGTTTGTGAACAGGAGAGCGGCCCAAGAACGCGGAAGCTTTTCGTTGGTGGCCTTCCGCCTTCCATGACTGATGAAGAATTCACGTCGTACTTTGCTCGATTCGGAACCGTACGTTGAAGCACATCGTCTGTGCCCGTGAGTCCTGGCACTCGCAGCGTGTTTAACGCATTCTGCCAGATTACAGAGATTCAAGTGCTTAGAGACGAAGACGAGAAAGGCAGATGCCGAGGGTTTGGGTTCGTTACTTTCCAGGCGGAGCAAGCAGCCGAGGACGTTCTTCTTCTTGGAAGGTGACTCTTATGGACTCAGACCTTCGATTCCATGTCTGGGCTCATGCGATTCTTATCGCTCAGGGAGTCTGATTGCCCGTGCAGAATGCACGAGATCTGTGGGAAGATGGTGGAAGTGAAGAAGGCACAACCACGGAAGGACATGGCAATCCAAAATGGCCGATGGTTGTGAGCACCTTCATAGAATAATCAGGAAAGCCTTCGGCACTGAACAGCACCGCTGTGACATTACCCCCACTTCATGCACTGCTGAAATGTGACACAACAGGTAGTGCAAGTGCAACCAGCACCAATCATGTAAAAAAATAATAATCATACATATAGCATGAAAATGGCCTGGCTAATTCCGGACACCCTAAACCCAAGGACCCCTGTACGCTGAAGACTACTTCTGGTCCATCTTTACTTCCCATCAAAACCTGTAAGGCGAGCAAGTTCATCAAGGTCTTGTTCTCCTGGTAGAACCTGCATAGATTACTCATGGTCATGAAATGCAAGACAGCATGTTCAGTAAAAAAAGCCCGAGGAAATGTGGAAGCTATGAGAATGAACAAGCATATACCACTGTGCATACCACCCACCTGATATCCCAAGGTAACGTTGCTCCTAGCAAATCTTTGTTCGGAAGGGGACAGAAGAGAACCAGTGACCAAGGCACAAGCAGGTCACAGCAATTGTTGAGGAAAGCTCACCTTGCCATCGATAATCCATGTTGGAAACCCTTCAATGTTGACATCCTGGCATGCTTTAGCCAGCTTCACTCCTGCTCTGAACCCTTCTGGATAGCACTCTACGTACGGAAGGTACTTTGAAGCTTCTGCACCAAAAGCCTGCAGGACGAAAGTCATCGCAAGCACAAGCATGTCCGTTGCTTGTTTGCACATCACAGACAGACGGAGGTGTGTGTGTGTACATGAGTCAAATAAAAGTGCGGCACTTGTTCAAGCACCCACCTGCTTCTGCTCGTAACAGTGCGAGCACCAGAAGGCACCGTACAGTTTCGCCCCAACGTTAGACAGGTGCTTGGCCAATTGCACGCGCACAGGTGTTGAGACAGTGGTGACCTCGGGCTCCAGAGCAGGGAGGTCGATCTCCGTGTCCCTGTGATGTCAGTATGGGCAAAATTGCAAAGCGAAGACGACAAGGAAAAGAGAAGGAGAGGGGATGGGAGAAGGAAGGATGAGAAGGTGGGTGGTGGGGAATTGTGGGAGGGGGGGGGAGAGAGGTGGGGATGAGAGGGTGAGAGGGGGGAAGACGAGATCAGGATCCTTGGGCCACTTGCAAGAGGATGGGTATCGAGTTGGTGATGGGCTCTGGAGCAGCGCTGACTGCCTGAACAAGAATTGATTGAACTGCACTCTGAAAACGGAAACATAATTGCAGCAAGCTGAGAAGAGACTTCCAGAGGCTCTGTCAGACTCAAAAGACCCACCGAGCATAGGCGGACCTGACATCAGCAAAGGAGAGGGAGAGAGCCACGGCAGTTGCAGTCACAAGGGCCAGCTGGGGCAGCAGCGCCTGCTGCAACTCACGCCATGAGAAGGACTGGGGGAGGGGGGAAGACAAGGATGAGGAACATGATATAGGAGTATCAGCACAGGAGAGGGAGAAAGTCATTGGCAGTTGCAGTCACAAGGGCCAGCCGGGGCAGCAGCGCCTGCTGCAACTCACGCCACGCAAAGGACTGACTGGAGGAGAAGCACGGGAATACCAAAAAGGGGAAAGACGAGTCAGCAAAGGACAGGGAGAGAGCCACTGCAGTAGCAGTCACAAGGACCAGCTGGGGCAATAGCGCCTGCTACAACTCATGCCATAAGGACTGCGGGCGGGAGGAGGGCATGCATGCGGGCTTAACCGGGAGGAGGAAAGCAGGGGCCAAACCTTATAGAAATGGATGCAGAAAGAGGGGAGAATGTAAAACAAACCTTCTAGAAATGCTTAATCTGTGCACGCAAATATCTCGCATGAACTGAACTGAATGAAGACCCCGCTTCAACAGGCACGGCGATTTTTGAAGCCCAAGCCTCATGTGAAAATGAAGGGCTCATGTGCGCATTGTCGGGTTCAGATGAATAGTGAACAGGCGAACCACGTGAACAGTGAAATACCCACCTTCACAGTCAGCGCAAACAGCAACGTAGAAAGGGTGGCAGAGGTGATGCAGTACAGACAAAACGCGCCGTCCAGCTCGGTAGCGAGGATGTACATGAGGTAGCCGCTGGTGGTGGCCATGGCGGCTGTTAGCGACAGTAGCAGCCAGCGCGAGGAGGAGGAGAGGAGGGAGGCTTCGAGAGGGGTGTGGGAGGAGGCCGGGCGCGAGAGGTGGGTGAGGAGGGCGACGGTGGAGTAAGCAGCGAAGCCAAAGATGGGGAGGGGGATGCCTGGAGGAAAGGGTTGGGGGTAAGTGAAGAGATTGGAAGGGGGTAAAGTGGAGAGGAATGAATGGGGACGAGCAGGCAGTAGACAGCGACGCTGCTGGTGGCCATGGCAGCTGTGAGCGAGAGCAGCAGGCAGCGCGAGGAGGAGGGGAGGATGGAGGCTCTGAGATGGGTTTGGGAGGAGGATGGGCGGGACGGGGGAGTAAGCAGCAAAGCCGAACACAGGGAGGGGAATGCCTGGAGGACGCAGGAAGGGCAAAGGGGCAGCGGGGGAAGGGGGCGGGAGAGTAGTGACTGGGGGCAAAGGGAGGCGAAGGGAGAAAGTGTAATAAGCAGTCTCTTGTGGAGCCCTCAGCAGAACGGAGTGATATGGGCCGTTGTGTGTGGGCCTATTCGGGCAGAAGTTGGAAAAAGCAGGGAAGGAGGCGAGAGGGCAGCATAACGGGGGAAGGCGGCGAGAAAGGGGAGAGAGGAAGAGGGGAGGCAGGGAGGACGATGAGGATGAGAAGCGAGGAAGCAAGGAGGGAAGGTTTCTCGGTCATACGCACCAAAGAGGGAGGCGTAGGGGCTGTTGAGCACGTCAGTGCATGACTCGTTAATGGGACAAGCCACCTGCCCTCCAGCGAGCTTCTCAAAGGACAGGTACAGTGTTTCCGCTGCTCCCACTAAAGACAGACCCAGTAGCGGCACATAAGGCACACTGCTGCTACTGCCGCTGCTTGTGTTAGAAGGTGTTGATGCTGACGTGGACAAAGGCGGAGGAGAGGGAATGCTGACGTCATCGTCGCTCGTCGCTGAGTCCCTGTTGCTGGGAGTGGGCGGAGGCGATTCGCCCGCCGCTCGCACAGCGATTCGCGAAATGCGGCGAGAGGAGCGTGCGATTCTGCGGGCTGGCGAGGATTGCGACAAGCAGGGCTGCGGGGAGAGAGCGGGGACGACGGCGGAAGATGGAAAGACGGTGGGGGAAGATGGAAAGACGGTGGCGGAAACGCACAGACTTGAAGAGTGGGCGAGCGGCATGCAGCTGCAGAATGATCCGAGATAAATTAGAAGAAAGATGCATGCACAATTTTTGAGATGACTGGGGAGATCGAGATGACTGACAGGATAATATATTTTTTTGTTTAAGGATGTTCAGGAAACCCGGACATGGCGTGGCGTGCAGACGCGTCAAGCTAGCCTTCTAGTGTGATCTATCGCGTTACGACGAGCTGCATTGACTTTCTAGCGATTAAAGTTTAGAAACCCCCGGCAAGTGAAGAAACTCAACAAGCAAACCCTCTAACGTGACCTATAGTGCTACGACGTGCTGCATTGACTTTCCAGTGATTAACGTTAAAAGAAACTCGCAGCCCTGCAGCCTCTGGAGCCTCCGCAGCCTCTACCGAGCTCTCTAATGCTTTGACACGCTATATTACGATGCTCCTCATTGCTTGCGCACGTGACTTGACCCGCTCGTTAGCCTTTAGCGTTGATCCGCTTTAGACTTGGAACGTTATAAACTTTGACCTGCTAGGGGCGTTGACAAGCTACAGCCTGACCGCTCACCAGCGGCGCTCGAAGAGACAGGCTTCGCTGCGCAGCCACGTCTGATCGGCGCGCAATGCACGGGCGACCGGCCACCAACCGCACGGCGTCGACCGAAACGGCCGCCATGGCCATTAGGTGAAAAGGAACAGTGGTTAGTGAGAAATGGAGAATACCAAGTGACAGGGCAGATGGATGCAGGTATGGAGTTATCTAGGAAACAGGGTCAGGGGGAGGTCTCAACCTGGACAGTGGAAAGCAGCTGCTGGTGCAACTGGATGTGAACTGCTGCTTCTGGGATCGAACCCGAAACTTGTTTCATATCGGTTACCCTTTTTCGCCGGAGTCGCAATTTCGGGATGTCAAAAAGAGCAATTGTACGTACGGAATGTACGTTCAGCGAGAGGATCTAGCTGCAAATGAGGGCGTGTTCTAAAAGAGCAAATAGTAGAATTCAAAATAATGAACGAGCAGACGAACAAGGCCGCGGGTCTGCTGGCCAATCGCTGAACACTTTTTACTGATTGAGGGGCACATTTCGACGACTTCTTGAAAGTTGGGCAGGCCCACCAGAACGAAACCCGACGAACAGCACAGCCGTGTTGGGCAAACCCTGGCTAGCTGTCGAACTTATCTCGAAGTCTCGGTCAGATTTTGGTTTGCCTCGTTTGTTTTGCTTCGTGACTGTACCCGAATCTCCCAACGGGCAGAACGAATGGACGAACGGAGCGTAGGAGCGGACGAATGGAGCCGTCGCTCCTACTCTCAACACGTCCTACGTGCGAAACTCTGGCTACTGGTTTCTGGTGGAGCTCGGTCTGGCATAGCTAAGTCTCTGTGCGATACAGTAGGATCCAGTACGATAACTTTTCGAAAATCGCAACGCAGGAGGACACGCCCTCAACTTGAAGCAACGCGCTAAACCGTACAGAATACACTCAGCAGTTATACTAGGATACTTATAGAAATAAATTTTGTTTTTCATAGAGCGTGAGTGACATCAGATAGGGAAGGGACCACTTGAGCTGGCCTTGGGAGTTCCGTCTGGTGAGGATCATCCAGTCCAAGCCCTCGCCTGAATCCCACGTGCCTTGCTTGAAGAACCCCTGAAGTCTAGACAGGATCAACCCTCGCCCCAGCGAAGCCATCACACTTTTCGCTGACTCTTGGCACTTTTTCCTGGTCGTATTGATCTTCCCCAGGAATTCGACATGGCTTCGGGCGACAAGCTTTCAAGCATCTCCAAGCTGAAGTCTGCAGAGCTCTTGGAGCTTATGAATGCGTACTTGCAGACGCCAGCAGGCGACGACTTGAAGGATAAGATAGGACTTGTTTATCAGTTCAACATCTCCCCCAAGGTCGTATCGAAGCTTCCGTGACAACTCGATACATGGTGCTGAAGGGTTCGAGTCCTGACGTTCATTTCCTGCTGTTGCAGAAAATCGGGATCAACGAGGAGAAATTTACCGTGGATTTGAAGTCGAAGAAGGTCACGGCAGGTGAGGGTTTGGCCTCAGCTCCCCAAGACCCTACCATTCTCTTCCATTGTTACGGCCCTGACGGCCGTTGTGTCGTTGATGCAGGAACATGTGAAGGGAAACCCGACGCAATGTTTTCTTTCATTGATGCTGACTTCGTTTCTGTCGCCACTGGCAAGTTAAATCCCCAAATGGCTTTCATCAGGTGAGCTCTAATGGCTTTCTCCTTCGTCATTTCCTTCTCGTGGAACGTCTGTATGAGAAAGCTTGACGTATTACCTCTCTTTGTTCGGTGGTGGATGCCAGGGGGAAGATGCGGATAAAGGGAAGCATGAAAGCTGCCCAAAAGTTTACTCCTGACATCTTTCCTAAACCAGCGAAGCTGTAGCTCCTCCATGCACCTCAGAGGATCAAGCTGTTTCGCTATTTTCTTCAGCCTCTTCTATGCAGCACGCCCGAAGTCTCAACAGCGATCAACACCAATAAAAGTCATTAGGCAACACGTTCTGTAAGGCATTTACGTGCCAAGCAGTGCTCCTTGGGTGACAACTACTGTAGGACTTTCAGAGATTAGGTTTGAAGCTGCTATTTCTGTCGTGGTCTCAGTATATTTCTGTTGTCCAGGAAGGATACCGTCCAATGCTAACCATGAATGCATTCATCAGAAAACGTATGCTTGACCTCTTGGTCCAGTCTAGGGTATGAGGGTACCACCACTGCATTTGAAGTCTGACTGATCAATTCAGTCAGAGGATTTGCGGGATGATGTGAGCATCACATTTGCTGAGTTGTGTGCGGCTTCATTCACGTCACATACACACAGGATGTCCCCACAAAGATCTCCCAATGTTTTATGGGCCTCCATACAATTCCTAACAGGTTGTTCCAAACAGAATCGTGGTAGTCCATTATGCTTGGCTCTTTTCAGCGAGGTAATGATCCAACATGTCATCCTCGTCAATGTCTGCAAACACACCCCACCACACACACATATAACCCCCCACACACACATGCACATGCACCCCCCCCCCCCCCCCCCCCCCCCCCCCACCATCCCCACACACACACACGCACCACAATGACATGCAAACACAATTTCAGACACATTTATGTGCATCCCAATAGTGCACACACCCACAAACGTTGACACATGCACAACAGATCCACCATGCAACATGCACAGAAACCGAACACTCAAGCGCATACATAAAGCATGGATTGAATGGGGGGCAATGGGCGAGTGGAGGGGAAAGAGGAACGGGAGAATCAAGTTTGGGACATGTGTGGAGACACAGGACAAGCAAAGGCACCAGACGAGCAAGGGCACCAGACAAGCAAAGGCACCAGACAAGCAAAGGCAACAGACACGCACCTACACAACAAACAAGTAAAGTTGGTGACGTTGCTTGTGGTGGGTGCTGATGAATGAAGTGAAGGTGCATCAACGTTGATCAAGGATGGCTTGATTTGAGGGGCCTTAAGTCACTGACGGTACAGCACCATCACTTGCACAAGAAAAAAGAGACTTCTTCCTCCCCATCCTTTCTCTGCCCGACAAACCCTATCTCTGCCCTTCAAACCTGACGCACTCTAAGCCCCCCTCACCACCCTCCCTCCATCCTTCTCACCTTTGTCGTCAAACCCTTCGTTGTCATAATCGATCTCGTCTTCCTCCTCCTCCGCTGTTGCCCCTTGAGCCCCTCACCCCCCTGCCCACCACCCCCCCCCTCTCCCCCCCTTCCCCCTCCCCCCCCCCATTCCCTCCGTCCTTCTCACCTTCGTCGAAGTCATCATCGTCAAAGTCGATCTCCTCTTCCTCCTCCTCCTCCTCTTCCTCCTCTTCATCCACCACGATTCCCTTGCTGGCTTTCTGCACATAGAAAACAAGCAACCAAGAAGAGGCGAGAGGAAGGTGAGGGGGCCACCAGTGAACCACTCTCACCTGCGTGAACCACTCTCTCACCTGCGCGGACCACTCTCTCACCTGCGTGAATCACTCTCACCTGCGCCGACCACTCTCTCACCTGCGCGAACCACTCTCTCACCTGCGTGAATCACTCTCACCTGCGCCGACCACTCTCTCACCTGCGCGAACCACTCTCTCACCTGCGCGAACCACTCTCTCACCTACGCGAACCACTCAATCACCTGCGCGAACCACTCTCTCACCTGCGCGAACCACTCAATCACCTGCGCAAACCACTCTCTCACCTGCGTGAACCACTCTCTCACCTGCGCGGACCACACTCTCATAGTCGCGAACCACTCTCTCACCTGCGCGAACCATTCTCTCACCTGCGCGGACAACTCTCTCACCTGCGCGAACCACTCTCTCACCTGCACGGACCACTCTCTCACCTGCGCGAACCACTCTCTCACCTGCGCAAACCACTCTCACCTGCGCGAGCCACTCTCTCACCTGCGAGAACCATTCTCTCACCTGCGCGAACCACTCTCTCACCTGCGCAAACCGAACCACAGACTGCCTGTAAGCCACTTCTCCTTGGAGCAAAGGCAGGGAGCAAGGGCAGGGAGCAAGGGCAGGGGCCACTTGAAAAGCAACCTTACCTGGAAAGTAACCTCACCCAAACCACTCTCACCTGCACAAACCACTGCCTGCCTGTGAGACGCTTCTCCTTGGCTGCTGCAAGTGCGGCATCTGATAGCAGCCTGCAATGCGAGGCATGGGGGGGTTGAGAGGTGATTGATGTTGATTGTGATTGGCTCAACGGAAATGCATGTCTCACTAGGCTTTCTCCAGGGGCTACGTCTGCCACGAATTGACCTCGCCACGTCACTCCACAGAAAGGTATTGACTGTTGTTGAGTGCGGTTGTGTACGGTTGACTGCTGTTAAGTGCAGTTGAGTGCAAAGATGTATCTCTCACTTGGCTTTCTCCAGGGCTATCTCTGCCTCGAACCGATCGCGCCACTCCGTGAATGTCTCGACTGTGACCGGCAGCCCGTGCGGTTCTATCACCTAGTGAAGTGAGGCGCACACAGAGGGGGGGGAGAGACGCAGAGGGGGGAGAGAGACGCAGAGGGGTGAGAGAGACGCAGAGGGGTGAGAGAGACGCAGAGGGGGGAGAGAGACGCAGAGGGGGGAGAGAGACGCAGAGGGGGGAGAGAGACGCAGAGGGGGGAGAGAGACGCAGAGGGGGGAGAGAGACGCAGAGGGGGGAGAGAGACGCAGAGGGGTGAGAGAGATGCAGAGGGGGGAGAGAGATGCAGAGGGGGGAGAGAGACGCAGAGGGGTGAGAGAGACGCAGAGGGGTGAGAGAGACGCAGAGGGGTGAGAGAGACGCAGAGGGGTGAGGGGTGAGGGGTGACAGGGGCACACTGAGCTTGAGCCGGCTCAAAGAATAGCCCTTGGTGGATGAGTCCACTGTGACAGGCAGCCCGTGCAGCTGCATCACCTGCTCATGCCCCCCCACCTCCTCCTCCTCCTCCTCTTCCACTTCCTCCTCCTCCTCACCCGTACTTCTCCCTCCCTCTTTATCCTTAGTGTTTGGACTTTCCCCTCCAACTAGAGTGCGCGCAACCCAACTGCCCTCTTCCTCCTCTTCCACCTCCTCCACTCCTCCGTACTTCTCCCTCCAACACTCCCTAGCAGAGTGAGAGCGCGGTCGCACCGTGTTCGCTGATTTCAGCCCAACGGGTCTCTTCCTTCTCCTCCTCCTCTTCCACCTCGTCCACACCCTTCTGTGCTTCTCTCTTCTCTCAGGCACTCCTTGGCATAGTGTGCGAGGTGCGAGGTGCGACCGTGGAACCATGCTAGCTGCTGCACATGACCCAAATCACCTCCTCCTCCTCTTCCCCCTCCTCCACCTCCTCCAGGCGCCAGTCCCCCCCGTACTTCTCTCTCAGCCACTCCCTTGCTAAGTGGGAAAATTTGCATTCCGCATAAATACACTGGCATATTTATGCTGGCGTAAATACGCAGAACGCTTGGGACCTGATTGAAATACGCTTGTGAAATACGTTGTCCCGGGCAGGGCAAAAATTTGCCATGCCTGAAAAAAAACCTGATTTTTGAGGGGGGAGAGGGGGGGGGGGTTTGTTGTGGAGGCTGAACCTGAAGCATCGCCACCCGCGCCCTGATCCGCGGGCCTGTTAGGCAACGTCGACATTAGGAGCGTCTGCCTAGGCTTGGAAAACCGCGCCGCGCGGCACTAGGCTGAGGTATGGCGTAGCTAGGGAAGTTGAGCACCCCAAACCCAGGAATTGCGTGAGTGACGAGGAGATAGAGAGAGTGCTGGAGCAGAGCGCATTAGTGTGCGTTGCGAGATTGGAGTGGTGTTGGGTTGGCTTTACAAAAATCCTATAGGGGTGGGGTGTGGTTGGGAACGTTGGAGGGGTTGGGGAGACATTTGGAAGCTCAAACTCGACGATTGCGAATTGGCGAAGCCACGCGCAGACTTGCGGAGAGTTTTCCGATTTTTCTGGTCGGGCATCCCGGAAAAATTTCCTGAACGAATTTGCAAATTTCGGGAAATTCGCATTCCGCATATTTACACCAGCGAATTTATGCAGAACGCCCCCCCCCTGCCCTAGCGAATTTTCCAACTTAGGTCCCTAGCACAGTGAGGGCGCGGTGGCACCGTGGCGCCATGTTCGCTGATTTCCGCCCCACTCACCTCCTCCTTTTCCTCCTCCTCCTCCACCTCCTCCACTCCCCCGTACTTCTCCCTCAGCCACTCCTTGGCTGACGTGGCTAGAGTGTACATCATCGCCATGCCTAAGTTCTCCTCGGCCTGGAAGCATGGAGGCATGGAGGCATGGATGCATGGAGGCATGGAGGCATGGAGGCATGGATGCATGGAGGCATGGAGGCATGGAGGCATGGATGCATGGAGGCATGGAGGCATGGAGGCATGGAGGCATGGAGGCATGGAGGCATGGAGGCATGGAGGCATGGATGCATGGATGCATGGAGGCATGGATGCATGGAGGCATGGAGGCATGGAGACATGGAGGCATGGAGGCATGGAGGCATGGAGGCATGGAGGCATGGATGCATGGAGGCATGGAGGCATGGAGGCATGGAGGCATGGAGGCATGGAGGCATGGAGGCAGGGAGGCATGGAGGTATTGAGGCAGCGAGGGGGGAAGAGGAGGGGGGGAAGAGGGAAAGAGGGGGAGAGGGGGAGAGTGACGAAGGACAGAGTGTACATCATCGCCATCCCTGAATTCGCCTCAGCCTGGAGAGGCCAGGGAAGTCTGATAAGAAAAAACTACAATGACGAGAGCGGGAAAGAAAAAGACGTGCTTGGGTAACTTAACACCTCTTCAAATCTATTGTGCAAGCCATTGCCCTGCCCAGACTCGCTCCAGCCTGGCGATGGGCGGCACGACAAGCCGTGGCGAAAGGAGAAACACGAGCGAGCTTTTAGTAAACTCAATGCAGACTGAAAATGCCTGGAGTCGTTTCAGCCAGGCAGTAGGTACAACAAAAGGAGAAACAAGGGCAAAGGACTTTACAACAAATCATAGTAAGGTTGCTTTACAACAAAACGACAATACACGCGAAGACAGGACTTCTAGCAATTGCCTCGAAAGGAACAAGCAAGGGCGTCAGATGCACTTCTGCTTCCAACATGATCCCGGCACACATCCCATTTGTGCGCACACACCGGCACGCACACGGGAGTGAATGTGCTTAAATCGAAGGGTTTCTTCGAATAGTGGGCTGCGGGAGATGCGGTCTCGGCCGATGCAAATGAATGCAGTGCGGTGACAAGTGGTGGTGATGGGTGAGGAGGAGAAAGAGAGCGGCAATGGAATGATGATGGTGCTGGCTGCTACATGCATATGGTTGGCTCGAGCCCACCCCTTTGTGTTCTCCATCATTCGCCCGTTCGGTATGGACTGACGCACGCATGACTCAATACAGGCGAGTGGCATGACTCTCAATCAGTAGTGACATAACTCAATACAGGGGACATGACTCCATGTAGGTGATATGACTGAAAGATGGCGGCATGACTCAATAATGGGGACATGATTCAATGCAGGTGACAGGACTCATATGTTATGACTCAATAAAGGTGACAAGACTCAATAAAGGTGACATGACTCAATAAATTATAAAGGTACCATCACTCAACAGAGTGACATGGCAAGAAATGCGCATGATTCAAAAAAAGGACCCAAGTTGACTGAAACCATGTGAATGATCTTGGTCATTCATAAATTAGTTACTGTACCAACCGAGCAAGTCACTATGCTCCCTTCGACACAAACAAGAAGCAACATCAACAAATCTCACGCTCCAACCCGACCTCCTCCTTCCTTCACTTTGCTTCGGAGACGCAACGATAAAACCAAGATGCGAAATCAACCAAGCTTTAAACAGCTGTCAACCCCAACCAGAACCTACACTCTATCCAGCCTGGCCCCACCATCCAACCAGAACCTACCCTCCACCCAGCGTGACCTCACCTCTTCCTTGAGCTTGTTGCGGATCTCCTCAAGGTCAACCGCTCTCACTCCTTGTAGACTGCTCATGATGCCATGCCATGCCAACCATGCCATGCCATGCCATGCCATACCATACCATGCCAACCATGCCACGCCATGCCATGCCATACCATGCCAACCATGCCATGCCATGCCATACCGTGCCAACCATGCCATGCCATACCATGCCAACCATACCATGCCATGCCATGCCATACCATGCCAACCATGCCATGCCATGCCACGCCATGCCATACCATGCCAACCATAACATGCCATGCCATGCCATACCATGCCAACCATACCATGCCAACCATGCCATGCCATGCCATGCCATACCATGCCAACCATGCCATGCCATACCATGCCAACCATGCCATGCCATGCCATACCATGCCAACCATCAATCATGCCATGCCATGCCATGCCATACCATGCCAACCATGCCATGCCATGCCATGCCGTGCCATGCCATGCCGATGCCGTGCCATGCCATGCCATGCCGTGCCGTGCCGTGCCATGCCAACCATGCCATGCCGTGCCATGCCGTGCCATGCCATGCCATGCCGTGCCGTGCCATGCCGTGCCATACCATGCAAATACAATGATGCAGGATCACGCAACAGGATAGCCAATGCACGAAAGAAACAGTAGTTTGAGGAGTCAAATGACTGCAACAATTATCAAATTGTAAGTGTCACGAGCAATTGTACATGCCACGGACCCACATTCACCCACACACCCAGCAATGGTACATGCCACGGACCCACATTCACACACTGGCTCATCAGGGTAGGTGGGTGTGTGGGTGGGCCAGTAGGAAATCTCCTGTGACTGGTGTCCAAGGCACCACTAATCTCCTCCGTCACCAGTCCTCAGTCCAGCTTCTCTTCTGGCGGCCCACCACTATGGAAACGGAGCGTACCCGAGTCGTAGCCATAGGCGTTAGGATGAGCAGCAGCAAAGACGAAAAGTGACAGTAGGTGAAGTGAGACCCCTGTACCTGAGTCATTTGCCACAGGCCCACCTTCGCACACTGAGCAGAGGCGGTTCATCAGGGTAGGTGGGCGTGTGGGCGAAGTATAGAGCCAACCGCACTGAAGGGGGGCAAAAGGGAGGATGGAAAAAGGGGGGAGAGAGGTTCTAAAACAAAGGAGATTAAATGGGTTGACAACACAACACTACATATAGAGGGGGAGAGAGGGTGTCTAGGACGAAGAGAGTAATTGCGCATGGAGCATGCGAGAGCGTTTTGAGACGTCTTGAAACATGATTGCACATGGAGCATGGGAGAGCGTTTTGAGACGTCTTGAAACATGATTGCACATGGAGCATGGGAGAGCGTTTTGAGACGTCTTGAAACATGATTGCACATGGAGCATGGGAGAGCGTTTTGAGACGTCTTGAAACATGATTGCACATGGAGCATGGGAGAGCGTTTTGAGACGTCTTGAAACATGATTGCACATGGAGCATGGGAGAGCGTTTTGAGACGTCTTGAAATATGATTGCACATGGAGCATGGGAGAGCGTTTTGAGACGTCTTGAAACATGATTGCACATGGAGCATGGGAGAGCGTTTTGAGACGTCTTGAAACATGATTGCACATGGAGCATGGGAGAGCGTTTTGAGACGTCTTGAAACATGATTGCACATGGAGCATGGGAGAGCGTTTTGAGACGTCTTGAAACATGATTGCACATGGAGCATGGGAGAGCGTTTTGAGACGTCTTGAAACATGATTGCACATGGAGCATGGGAGAGCGTTTTGAGACGTCTTGAAACATGATTGCACATGGAGCATGGGAGAGCGTTTTGAGACGTCTTGAAATATGATTGCACATGGAGCATGGGAGAGCGTTTTGAGACGTCTTGAAACATGATTGCACATGGAGCATGGGAGAGCGTTTTGAGACGTCTTGAAACATGATTGCACATGGAGCATGGGAGAGCGTTTTGAGACGTCTTGAAACATGATTGCACATGGAGCATGGGAGAGCGTTTTGAGACGTCTTGAAACATGATTGCACATGGAGCATGGGAGAGCGTTTTGAGACGTCTTGAAACATGATTGCACATGGAGCATGGGAGAGCGTTTTGAGACGTCTTGAAATATGATTGCACATGGAGCATGGGAGAGCGTTTTGAGACGTCTTGAAACATGATTGCACATGGAGCATGGGAGAGCGTTTTGAGACGTCTTGAAACATGATTGCACATGGAGCATGGGAGAGCGTTTTGAGACGTCTTGAAACATGATTGCACATGGAGCATGGGAGAGCGTTTTGAGACGTCTTGAAACATGATTGCACATGGAGCATGGGAGAGCGTTTTGAGACGTCTTGAAACATGATTGCACATGGAGCATGGGAGAGCGTTTTGAGACGTCTTGAAACATGATTGCACATGGAGCATGGGAGAGCGTTTTGAGACGTCTTGAAATATGATTGCACATGGAGCATGGGAGAGCGTTTTGAGACGTCTTGAAACATGATTGCACATGGAGCATGGGAGAGCGTTTTGAGACGTCTTGAAACATGATTGCACATGGAGCATGGGAGAGCGTTTTGAGACGTCTTGAAACATGATTGCACATGGAGCATGGGAGAGCGTTTTGAGACGTCTTGAAACATGATTGCACATGGAGCATGGGAGAGCGTTTTGAGACGTCTTGAAACATGATTGCACATGGAGCATGGGAGAGCGTTTTGAGACGTCTTGAAACATGATTGCACATGGAGCATGGGAGAGCGTTTTGAGACGTCTTGAAACATGATTGCACATGGAGCATGGGAGAGCGTTTTGAGACGTCTTGAAACATGATTGCACATGGAGCATGGGAGAGCGTTTTGAGACGTCTTGAAATATGATTGCACATGGAGCATGGGAGAGCGTTTTGAGACGTCTTGAAACATGATTGCACATGGAGCATGGGAGAGCGTTTTGAGACGTCTTGAAACATGATTGCACATGGAGCATGGGAGAGCGTTTTGAGACGTCTTGAAACATGATTGCACATGGAGCATGGGAGAGCGTTTTGAGACGTCTTGAAACATGATTGCACATGGAGCATGGGAGAGCGTTTTGAGACGTCTTGAAACATGATTGCACATGGAGCATGGGAGAGCGTTTTGAGACGTCTTGAAACATGATTGCACATGGAGCATGGGAGAGCGTTTTGAGACGTCTTGAAACATGATTGCACATGGAGCATGGGAGAGCGTTTTGAGACGTCTTGAAATATGATTGCACATGGAGCATGGGAGAGCGTTTTGAGACGTCTTGAAACATGATTGCACATGGAGCATGGGAGAGCGTTTTGAGACGTCTTGAAACATGATTGCACATGGAGCATGGGAGAGCGTTTTGAGACGTCTTGAAACATGATTGCACATGGAGCATGGGAGAGCGTTTTGAGACGTCTTGAAATATGATTGCACATGGAGCATGGGAGAGCGTTTTGAGACGTCTTGAAACATGATTGCACATGGAGCATGGGAGAGCGTTTTGAGACGTCTTGAAACATGATTGCACATGGAGCATGGGAGAGCGTTTTGAGACGTCTTGAAACATGATTGCACATGGAGCATGGGAGAGCGTTTTGAGACGTCTTGAAACATGATTGCACATGGAGCATGGGAGAGCGTTTTGAGACGTCTTGAAACATGATTGCACATGGAGCATGGGAGAGCGTTTTGAGACGTCTTGAAACATGATTGCACATGGAGCATGGGAGAGCGTTTTGAGACGTCTTGAAACATGATTGCACATGGAGCATGGGAGAGCGTTTTGAGACGTCTTGAAACATGATTGCACATGGAGCATGGGAGAGCGTTTTGAGACGTCTTGAAACATGATTGCACATGGAGCATGGGAGAGCGTTTTGAGACGTCTTGAAACATGATTGCACATGGAGCATGGGAGAGCGTTGAGACGTCTTGAAACATGATTGCACATGGAGCATGGGAGAGCGTTTTGAGACGTCTTGAAACATGATTGCACATGGAGCATGGAATCATGTTCCGCTCCGTGCTCTCAACACACGCCTTGCTCTCAACACACGCCTTGCTCTCAACACACGCCTTGCTCTCAACACACGCCTTGCTCTCAACACACGCCTTGCTCTCAACACACGCCTTGCTCTCAACACACGCCTTGCTCTCAACACACGCCTTGCTCTCAACACACGCCTTGCTCTCAACACACGCCTTGCTCTCAACACACGCCTTGCTCTCAACACACGCCTTGCTCTCAACACACGCCTTGCTCTCAACACACGCCTTGCTCTCAACACACGCCTTGCTCTCAACACACGCTTTGGTCTCAACACACGCTTTGGTCTCAACACACGCTTTGGTCTCAACACACGCTTTGGTCTCAACACACGCCTTGGTCTCAACACACGCTTTGGTCTCAACACACGCTTTGGTCTCAACACACGCTTTGGTCTCAACACACGCTTTGGTCTCAACACACGCTTTGGTCTCAACACACGCTTTGGTCTCAACACACGCTTTGGTCTCAACACACGCTGTGAGAGGTGAAGCAGGTACCTGGGAACGGTGTTGTCTCTTCCTCGTCATCCCCCTGCGCACCCCAACATGCACAGCCACGACCCTACCATGTCAGCACTGCCACTTACAACTGTTCAACTCATGCGCCCCTTCAAAACAGAGAACGTCTTTTTGAGGCGCCTAAAAAATTCAACTCATGCGCCCGTTCAAAACAGAGAACGTAGTGGCAATGCTGATCGTATGGGATGGGAGCATGCCACAAAAGCACTTTGGTCGTGTCGTCATCATCCCATGGTCACGCCAGCATGGGCATGTCAAGATTACCTTTGGTGATATCGTGATTTGGTAGCACGGCCCGTCTGTTGTAATACCCAGCCCTGACGTGTCCTCCACCTCTGCAGCAAAGAGGCGGGAGAAGGAGGAGGATGGGGGCCAGGAGGGGGGAGGAAGAATGGGGGGGGGAAGGGGCGGGAAAGAGGAGCAAGGCTTTCATCTCCGGCACCTTGGGGGGGGTGGGAGGGAGAGCAAGGCTAGAATGAGGCGCCTCAGAACCAGGATCGCCCACCCCTTCAGCAAGAAGGCAGGAGGGAGGGGAAGGGAGCAGCGGGGAGGGGGGGTTGGGGGAACGGAGCAAGAGGGAGAGAAATGGAGCAGGAGGGAGGGAAAGGGAGCAGGGGGGGAGGGAGGGGGGGACGGAGCACGGGGCAGGGGAAAAGAGCAGAGAGGGGGGGTACGGGGGATGGAGCAGGGAGGGGAGGGGAGCAGAGAGGGGGGGTGGGGGGGACGGAGCAGGGGGGAGGGGAAGGGAGAAGGGTGAAGAGCAGGGATAACACTAGAGGCCCGGAGGGAAGAGGCGGGAGGGGAGTAGGGAGGAGACTATGTGGGGTGGGAATAACACACACGGTGAGTAGGGAGGAGGAGGGAAGAGAGATTGGGGTTCACGGAAGACAAGAAATGTGTTTCAGCAAACACAAATCGTAATCTCTGGGGCATCTTGTACACATAGTCGCTCAACTGGCCGTTTGCCCCACATCCATCCTGTTCCTGTGTGCACCCGCGCCAGACATACATGTTTTGAGACACCTCAAAACACAGCTTTTATCCCACGTACCTCCTGCTCTGTGTGCACCCGTGCCATGGCATACAAGCAGATGACTCACTCTCGAACTCGTCCATGAGGATGGCCTCTAATGCCTCCACCTCCATCTGCTGCTCGCCCTCGTAGTCTGCACGTGGAGGGCAGGGAAGGAGAGGTTAGGGTATGTTGCTTCTATTGCCTCTTAGTGCTTCTACTGCCTCTAAGTGCTTGTAGTGCCTCTAAGTGCCTCTAATGCCTCCACCTCCATCTGCTGCTCGCCCTCGTAGTCTACTGGTGGAGGAGGGGAGCGGAACGAGGGGAGATGAAGGATACACGACAGAGTCAATGGATGGTAGAGAGGTGTGCGCTGCTGATATATGCTGCTGACACGTGCTGCTGTTGATACATGCTGCTGACACGTGCTGCTGCTGATATATGCTGCTGACACATGCTGCTGCTGATATATGCTGCTGACACGTGCTGCTGTTGATACATGCTGCTGACACGTGCTGCTGCTGATATATGCTGCTGACACATGCTGCTGCTGATATATGCTGCTGACACATGCTGCTGTTGATACATGCTGCTGACACGTGCTGCTGCTGATATATGCTGCTGACACATGCTGCTGCTGATATATGCTGCTGACACGTGCTGCTGTTGATACATGCTGCTGACACGTGCTGCTGCTGATATATGCTGCTGACACATGCTGCTGATGATATATGCTGCTGACACGTGCTGCTGTTGATACATGCTGCTGACACATGCTGCTGCTGATATATGCTGCTGACACATGCTGCTGTTGATACATGCTGCTGACACGTGCTGCTGCTGATATATGCTGCTGACACATGCTGCTGCTGATATATGCTGCTGACACGTGCTGCTGTTGATACATGCTGCTGACACGTGCTGCTGCTGATATATGCTGCTGACACATGCTGCTGTTGATATATGCTGCTGACACATGCTGCTGCTGATACATGGTGCTGACACATGCTGCTGATGATATATGCTGCTGACACATGCTGCTGTTGATATATGCTGCTGACACATGCTGCTGCTGATACATGGTGCTGACACATGCTGCTGCTGATATATGCTGCTGACACATGCTGCTGTTGATATATGCTGCTGACACATGCTGCTGCTGATATATGCTGCTGACACATGCTGCTGTTGATATATGCTGCTGACACATGCTGCTGTTGATACATGCTGCTGACACATGCTGCTGTTGATATATGCCGCTGACACATGCTGCTGATATATGCTGCTGACACATGCTGCTGCTGATATATGCTGCTGCTGATACATGCTGCGGCTGATACATGCGGCTGGTGTGTGGCAAGGAGGATACAGACAGACAGACAGAGCAATGGATGGCGGTTGCCGTGAAAGCCGTTGCCGCAGGGGAAACCACACCACAGCTTTCAATGACTTGTACGTCAAACGCACTTGACAAGGGTAGTCTGACCATGAGCAGATCAACTTGGAGCATGCCATTGTCATACTTCTATCCACTCCAAACTATCACCTCACCTGTCATTGCGACGAGAGAACACGGTAAAATCTGCAAGTGGGTTGAAGGCGAGGAGAAGAGTGACAGCGGTGCTGCTGCTGCTGCTGCTGCCACTATCCACGGGCCTTGCAGTGCAGCGTGGATTGGGGGAGCAAGGAGACACAGAGGAGGCGACGCAATAGGAGTGGGAAAAGCTTGTGAAGAAGTCTCGGAACACTTATCCAGACACAACCCGGGAGAAAAGGCAATGCGCCTGCACTGTGATTAGGCGGTTCTCATGACACCATCACCCCTCAACCCCAAAACCCCGAATTCCAAAAGCTGGCGAAACGATAGAATGAGCGGAAGGGGTGGGGGGATCGGAGAAGGAGGTCGAGGTTGAGGAGGGAGAGGAGCATGAGAAGGGAGAGTGGGGAGGCGTGAGTGGGAGGGAGAGGAGGGTGAGAAGGGGAGGGAGAGGAAGGTACGGCAGAGAGAGAGAGAGAGAGAGAGAGAGAGAGAGAGAGAGAGAGAGAGAGAGAGAGAGAGAGAGAGAGAGAGAGAGAGACGACAGGAGAGCGATCGGGTAGGGCGAGGGGGAAGAAATGCAGAGGAAGGGAAGTAGGGAGGTTGTGGGGGAGAGGGAACGGAAGGGAGAGGAGGGCGGCCGGGAGGAGGGGACGGAGGGAGAGGAGGACCGAGGGGACTGCAGCGTGAGTCCTTAGTAGCGGGAATGGACCTCCGTAGGGATGGCAAAGGGGGATGAACGCAGAGGGGGATGAACGCAGAGGGGGATGAACGCAGCGAAGGAGCGAAAGACGGCGAAGAGATGGAGGGAGACGGGCGACACAGGATACGCGGGAACGGAGGGAGCTGGGGAAACTGAGGCGAGACGGCTTAACGGGGACGATCGGCAGGAGGGAGAGGGGAGAATGGCGGGAACGGGGAGAGAGAGATCAGTGCGTCGCGGATTCGCGATGTGGAGGTAAGCGCTGACCTTATTTTTCTCTGAAGGGGCCTCGATTCCACGCCGCGGTGTAATGCGTGTTTTGACACGCGCCTGAAAACCCGGATTCGTGATGTCAGACGCGTAGGCAACTCCTAGGTCGACCCAACAGCGCGATTTTCCTGTCGCTTACGAGTGCGACCACTCGTCGTATTCGGGAAAAGTGACTGGAAGCGCTAGCAACCAACTTCTGAAACTGCGGCTGAAACCCAAGACTAGAGTGGGTGCAATGGGTTTGTCCTCGATAGTCACCTCCTATAACAGAAACCCTAATCGCTGGAAGTGCCTCAAGCGCCACTGGCAGAAGGCGCGCAGGAAACCGTACAGGTGGAGAGGCGTACGCGTTAAGAGGAAGGCCCAACGCCTGTGGATAGACAAGGTCTGATTGGGAAACACAGCGGTGAGCGTTGCTGCAGTGAGTGAGAGCGACAAGAGCAGCCCAACGGATGATCACGGAAACGAGACGAATGTTCAAGTTCCTTCACTCTTGAACAAATCGGACCTCGTTTTTGGTGCCATGTTTCCCTTGCGAACCAAGTGTAATTTGCAATACAACGAGGTGTTCGCGACAGTTCGTCTTTTCGATAAAGTCGCCAGCCAGTCCTCTTCCTGGTCGACCTCCCACATTACGACCACGGTGCCGTAAGAGGGTTCCCACATCCAAACATCCCTCTACTTTTGCGAACACTTCAATTTGTAACCTGACTCGCAGAGTTTTCACCTGAGCCAGAAGTGCTGGAATTTGACAAGGGCCCCTTGAAGTTGCTGAGCATGCCAGAGGTGAACAATGAACAGGAGTCCCCCTCCATCGTTATGCTTTTCGGAGCCCGCTACAGCGCGTACAGCAAGTCCTGCCATGCTCATCACCTCGCGATTGTTGCGCCTCTCATTGTTCAGCTCACCTTTCTGCCCGTTCCTTTCGCCCGCTCGCGTGGACTGAGTCAGAGACACTTCTCTGCCTATCGCTGTCGTCCACTCTCTTCCGTTTGGTAGTCGTTACGGAAGCGTGACGGAACGAGGGCGCGCACCTTCTGGACGGCACCGTTTCCCGTTATCCTCGACACGCTCGCCCGTTTTCGTTGGGCGATTCTGTGCAGTGTCTGCGACTTTTCCCACGTCAATTGCCACGTCAATTGTCACGTCAATTGTCACGTCACAATGGTTCCAGGGCGAGGAAAGAAACACTTACACAGCGGACGGCCCAAGAAACAAATTAAATTCTCGGCTAGCGGGACGGCGAAGGGCGGCGACCGGGCACGTGGCTTTGAGGGATTAGTGGACGACTTGCCCGAGTCTCTAGGGCTTTCAGCGAACGGGGGTACCACCCGAGGCAGGGAGGATGGAAGGGGAGGAGAAGTACGGCCCCGTGGAGGATCGGTAGGCAGAGGAATAGGCACGAAGAATAGAGGGCGACGGGAGGGCGGAGGGAGGGGGAGAGGGAGGGAGGGTGGAGAAAGTGGGAGGGAGAGGAAGTTTCAGGGAAAGATCGCGCGACACACAGGTGCAGACCGAGGGGAGGTGCCTGGGGATGGGAGGAGAGGGGGCATGGAGAGAAGTGGAAGGGGTTTAGGCAGCGGAGGGGGGTTTGGGAATGGAAGGGTTTTAGGGCAAGGGAGGGGTTTAGGGAGGGTTCAGGGGAGAGGGATGGAGGAGAGAGGTTTTGGGAGATTGCAAAAGAGTGAAGAGGAAGAGGAGGAGGAAGAGGAGGAAGAGGAGGAAGAGGAGGAAGAGGAGGAAGAGGAGGAAGAGGAGGAAGAAGAAGAGGAGGAGGAGACACAGGGCCCGGTTGAGGAGGAGCAGGATGATGGTAGTGAGGGCGAGGGTGGTGGTACGGAGGAGGATGATTCAGAAGAAGAGGAAAATGCAGAGGAGGATGAGCTGGTGAGACGGGAGGAAGGATGTTGTCGCTGTTGTTGCATTGGGCTACTCCACAAACCTCACTCTCACCCGCCGCAGCACTTGCAGACGTGCCCTTGTTGACTCTCTCCTCTTTCACTTCCCTCTCTCCCCTCCTTCCCCGTCTACAAGAGATTTTGGCAGGCGTGCCTCTGAGAAGAACAAGCAAATGCGAAGCCGAGAGTGGGCGCTGTGTTATCTGTCACCTGCCACTCTCCTTTCTTCCCTCTCCCCTCCCTACCTTATACCCCAGGCTCGTCTGCAGCAGCAGCTAGCGGACGTGCCCTTTGAGGAGGTCCAGCCAATGAGAAGCCGAGGGTGAGGTTCCCCACATCACTCCTCTCTTCCTTGTCCTCCCTTCCCCCACGCCTCAGTCTCGCCTGCAGCAGCAGCTAGCAGATGTGCCCTTTGAGGAGATCCAGCAAATGCGAAGCCGAGGGTGGGCTGCACCGCCCAGAGGGATTGGGGGTCTAGGGGGGAGAGGCGCTACCAGTGGTGGTGCTGGTGCTGCGGGTGGTAGTGATGACAGTGACAGCGAACCTGGGGGTAAAGGGAGGGGGGCGAGGGGAGAAGGAGGGGGAGAAGTGGCGGGGGGTACTGCGGGTGCGATGGCGGGGCTGAAGCGCATGAAGGTGCTCTCAGAGGCAGTGCGGCGGCGGGCCAACAAGAACCGCCCCATGGAGCTGCCGGCCAAGAAGCCTGTGCCTCGGTTGAGACAAGTGGTTGATGCGCCAAAGAAGGTGAGAGGGGGGAGGAGAGGGGGGGTACTGCGGGTGCGATGGCGGGGTTGAAGTGCATGAAAGTGCTGTCTGAGGCGGTGAGGCGGCGGGTCAACAAGAACCGCCCCATGGAGCTGCCGGCTAAGAAGCCTGTGGTGAGTCTGCGACAAGTGGTGGGCGCACCAAAGAAGGTGAGGGAATTTAGGAAATTGTTAACTGTTGGTGGTGTTGATATTTTCTAGCTCTTGTCATATCATATTTCCCCCCATGTCCGCCCATGTCTGCCCATCTCCCCCCATCTCCTCTCATCTCCCCCCATCTCCCCTCATCTCTCCCCATCTCTCCCCGTCTCCCCCCATCCCTCCCCGTCTCCCCCCATGCCCCCCCCATGTCCCCCCATCTTTCCCCATCCCCCCCCTAAACCCACAGGTCATCCGGGACCCGCGCTTTGAGTCGCTCTGTGGGGAGTACGACGAGGGCAGGTGAGTGTAATGAGGGGTGGTGTCAATGGGGTGGTGGCAATGGGGGTGTTGACGATGGGGGGTGTGGGTTAGTGGCTTGACAACCCCACTGGTGATTCAAGGCCCGCGCTTGGATTCGCTGTGTGGCGAGCACGACGAGGGCAGGTGAGCAGCTGGGGAGGAGGGCCAGGGGAGAAGGGTGGGAGAGGAGAGGAGGGGGGGGGGAGACTATGGAGGAGGTGATGGGTGATGAGCAGAGGGGAGGTGGGGGCATGAAGGAGGGGGGCTGGGAGCAGCCGGGCATGAAGTGTCTTCCGTAGCCATGAGGAGGGTGGGAACCAAACCTCTGCAGAAAGACTTGCATGAAGGTTTGCAGTAGGACTTGCATCAAGAATGGCATCCATGGTCACAAGGCACACTGCCGTGGCCCCATAACACGCATTGCCCTATGCTCACCACCATAACGGAAATCTTGTTGCACACAACATTCTCTCTATGCATGTGTCCGTGCCTTGTTCTTTTCACTGATCCTGGTCTGTCCTCCTTGTTGTCAGGTTCAAGTCATCTTATAAGTTCCTCTTTGCAGAAACCCTTCCAAAGGAGAAGGAGGTACGGTGAGATTGCGAAGATGGAGAACATGCTTTTTCAGAACCCATGCTGCTGGCAAGTCGGCAATTTCTGTGTAGGAATTTCTTTGTTCTATGCACTGTTTCATTCAAGATGTCATTTGTTCTGTCCAAGGTTCTGCAGTCGCGAGCCCCTAGACATTCTCCTCCTTCCTCCCTCCCTGTCCCTATCCTTTCTCCCTTCCCCCCCCTTCTTCCAATACTGCCACACCAGGAGCTACAGAGGCAGGTGAAGAGGACCAAGCATTAGGAGGAGCGGAAGAAGATGCTGCTGCTGACTGGTTCCCCTGGTCTCCTCACCTCCCCCCTCCTCGCTCCCACGTGCCGCTACATGAGGACCTGCGGAGGCAGCCGAAAGCCCATGCTGCTGACTTGTTGCCACGCCATCAACTTGTGCCCCCACTCCTCCCACCCGCCCCCCTCTCGCCCCCCTGCTGCTGCCACACCAGGAGCTGCAGAGGCAGTTGAAAAGGACCAAGGACGAGGAGGAGCGGAAGAAGATCAACCGGCGACTCGCTCAGATTGTAAGCGCCTTCTATCGATCAGCCTGAGGGCTTCTATCTCGTCTTTGCGCGGCCACTTTCTTCCATCCCTCTTCAATGACCTGGGTTACGTTCATGGATCAAATCACCATGTTCTGGTTGATGATGCCCATATGCCTGGGCTGCTTGTGTTGCTTCGGCACGCAATACCTGCCTCTGCTTGCCCGCCTCGCCTCTCTGCTTGCCCGCCTCGCCTCTCTGCTTGCCCGCCTCGCCTCTCTGCTTGCCCGCCTCGCCTCTCTGCTTGCCCGCCTCGCCTCTCTGCTTGCCCGCCTCGCCTCTCTGCTTGCCTGCCTCGCCTCTCGGGTCAAATGGCCCGGAGGAGCAAACGCTGAAGAGTGGGGCCCAGCGGCAGAGGAAGATTGTGAGGGAGATGCGCGTGTGCCTGGAGATCTAGTTTTGAGGCGCCTCAAAGGGAGATGCGCGTGTGCCTGGGGATCTAGTTTTGAGGCGCCTCAAAGGGAGATGCCCGTGTGCCTGGGGGTTGCTGACGGTCCTTCTTCACCCGTTCCCTGCCTTTCTTCTAGTCGCAAGCCCTGCACCCGCCGGAGCAATCGCTGAAGAGTGGAGTGGGGGGCCAGCGACAGGAGTCGATTGTGAGGGTGCAGCGAGAGTGCCTCTCTGGGCTGCTTGTGCTCCCCTCTGCTATGTTGCAAAAAACGCAGTTTGCGTTTTAAACGCTAAATGCTCAGGAGCCAGGGGGCAAACGCCAGAAAAACTCTAGGTCGGGCAGGGCAAAAAACACTTTCGGACAGGGCAAAAAAAAAGATTTTCCGGCGGGGGGAAGGGGGGCTGCAGAGCACCAAATCCCCACCTCCAAGAAGGTTTTCTTAAGGCAAGGATTGTAAAAATTCAGCCAATAATGAGTTTCAATCAGAATCTAATCATGCATCCCCATAAACAGCAATCTACCGTGCGGTTTGCACCTGAGGCAGTCGAGTTCATGGCGTTCGACATAGCTAATGTCGCAAAAACGGCGCTTAGACTAGAGAGTACTGTATAGGTCCAGATTGTAGCTACTAAGCAGTGTAAACTGTGCGACAGGGAGCTCTGAGGGCAGGAGCATGCAATGCGCCAGATCTGCAAAAGTGATGAACGACCTGTTTCTGGTGAGTAGAAGTGGTTGATGAGTGGTGGTTGGGTTTCCTAGACGAGATGGGTGGAGAGCGGTTGAAGGAGTTTGAGGTGTTGGGTTGGCATTTGAACCTTCAATTCAAATTTCGCGATGTTTGATGCGATTTGAACCTTCGATGCGGTGAAGTTCCTGTTTGGACTCGCCACATCGCAAACTGTCGCGCAACTTATTTCTTCCTGTCGGGCTGCCCCCCAAAAAAAAAAAGCCGAGCGATTGCGTTTTTCTAGCGTTTTAGCGTTTTGCGTTTAAAATCCACCGTTTAAACGCAAAACGCTCGCCTGCCAGAGCGTTTTTTGCAATATAGCCCCTCTGTTGCGCCTTCCTGGACCCTCGGGATCATTCGCTGAAGAGTGAGAGCCGCCGGCAGAAGGTTGTGAGGGAGATGCCAGCGCCGTGTGCCTGGGCTCTGCTTATATCCCCTTCGTGCGGTGCTTGTGTCTCCCTTGTGCTCTTCTTCCATGCCCCACAGGAACAATCGTGAGGGCCAGCGGCAGCAGAAGGAAGTGCTTGCGTGCCATTGCTTATGCCATTGCTTATGCCACTCGTAATAATTGCACATTCCCTTCGTCTGGGTGCCTTCCTCTGGTCTGGTCGCATGGCCCACAGGAGCAATCGCTGAAGGGTGAGAGCCAGCGGCAGAAGAAGGCAGCGAGGGAGATGGAGCTGAAGCGGCGGGAGAGAGAAGCAGTGAAGGCGGGGAAGAAACCGTTCTACCAGACCAAATGTATGTTGCTGTTGGCGTGTGTGTGAGTGGGGAGGGGGGGAGGAGGGGGACGAGGGGTATCTGTGTTTGCTTAAAAGAATGGCAGTTAGATGTACTTGAGTGTTGGTGTGTGTGGTGGGGGATTGTGTGTTGGGGGGGGGGGGGGGGGTGTTGCAGCTGCGTCTGTGAGAGAGAATCAGTGAAGGCGGGCAAGAAATCTCTCTACCAGACCAAATTTACCTGTGTGTTTATGTGTGTGTCACAGAGTTAGAGGGGAAAGGGGGGGAAAGAAAATGGGGTAGGGTAAATGGAGGGATGAAACGCTAATGCTTGTGCTCACGCGTTTTGAGGCGCCTCAAAACTAAACGTTAATGCTTGTTGCGTTGCGTTTCACGTTTTGCGTTTTTGTGTTTTTTTAGACATGTTCCGTGCTCAAGCATGCCTCACATGCCTGCTCCTCCGCTGCTCCTTCGTACCATCCTGTCCCTGGTGCTACATCCTGCCGTCTCCCATCCCATCTTCCCCTATTCTTTTCCCTTCGTCTCTTTTGAGCCGACTAAAGAATCACCCCGTCCTGTCCCCAGTGCTACATCCGGCCATCACCCCATCTCTTCCGATACCTTCCTGTGCATTCTCTCCTTACACGGTGTGGCATAATGCGTATGACTGGGCTCTGTGGTGTGGTGCGGTGCGGTGCAATTGGTCTGTTGTCATGCTGCTCTCCAGCGTCTCGCCGGCGGGAAGAGCTATATGAGAAGTATCAAGAGCTCAAGGTAACCCCATTGAGCAAGCTCCTGCAACCACTTGTCTTGTGACCTTATCTGGCCGTCTCACAAAGCACCGCTCTCAAGCTTGGCACGCCACTAATGCTTTGGCACGTCTGTTTTGATCTCTGCTGCTCACCTGTCTGTCAATCCCTCTGCATCTATGGGGTGTTGCTTGCACGGTGTTGTCTTTCTCACCCGCGCTTCCCTGTTGCCTTTCCTGTGGGTGTGCTGCAGGCGGGCGGCAAGCTGGAGTCGTTCATGGCGAAGAAGAGGAAGAGGAATGCAGCCAGGGAGCACACCAAAGTGCCGTTTCGCCGGGAGCACTAGCCGCTTGAGTGTAAACATGTTTATCAAAGTTAACGAATGACTAGAACAATGACATACAAGGGAATATAACCTAGTGGGTTGTACTCCCTAAGGAACAACCCTATATAGTCTATAACAACATACAAAGGTATGTTACACACACCCCCTAGACTAGATAGGGGTAGTGCTTGGTGAGAGACAAGCAGCTCAGGGTGGCACTACTAGTCCAGCCTCTGAGGCAAGGGTCTAAACTAAAGACCAGTCAAACGAGTACAGACAAGGCAAGAGCAAGACCAGGGCGGCATATTAGTCCAACCACTGGGTAGAGGCCACAAGGACAGTCAGGGTAATATATATAAAGGTCTGTACACAATCAAGGTCCTAGCAAGTGAGAGGCTACACGAACGAGACCTAGCCGTACACAGTGCCTGTTGGGCTGAGAAAAGCCCTTAGGATCTTTCCAGAGACTAAGTCCCAGTTGTAGAATGAGACTTGAGTAGTGCAGCGGAAGTTGAGGCAGTTGAACCCTTGTACTAGTATGTGAGAACAAGTGATTAATTAAAGAAACAAGCATACAGCAATATATAGAAGATAGGAAGGCAGTTGTAGAATACAGTTACAGGAACGGTTTATCGAGTCGCACAGCGACTCGATTGCCAATTCGGTTACCATCCGTGATGTTGTAACGGTCAGTCGCAACCTCCAGTTGCGACCTTTCGAGTCTTTTCGCATTCTTTGTCCGCCCCCTCGTGTAACCTCCGTTGACTCGCGTGCTCCCCTGTAATCTTCCTCGAGTACAGTGTTACACTTCAGAAACGCTCAAGTCCTTTGAGACATTTCCAACACTCCCCTTCGTTTCTGGAGTGCTGGAGAGTGTTCAGATCCGGTGACGTTTGTTTGCCCGGTCAGGAGCATGCAGTAGTCGAATTTTGCTTTCGCCAATTTCTTCGTCCGATAATCTGCGGCCATTTCTGTCGTTGGGCAGTAACTGAGTTGAAGTCTCCCCTTTGCGATTTCATCCTTGACGAAGAAGTACCGCAGGGCGATGTGCTTGGTTCGGTTGGCGAAGCCGTCCTTGTTCGCGATTTTGATCGCAGATTGGTTGTCGCAGAGGAGTGAGAAGGCGGGCAGGGTCGCAATCTTCGCTTCCTCGAGTAACTCCCGTAGGTAGAGTCCTTCCTTGGTCGCAGTACAAAGGGCGATATACTCTGCTTCAGCCGAGGATAGTGCGATTAACTCCTGCTTGCTCGACTGCCAGGAGATAGTTCCGATGGGTTCTAGTCGGTAGATATAGCCCGTCCTAGATCGTCGATTTTCCCTATCTCCCGCGTGGTCGGCGTCGACGTATCCGAGTAGTCGTACGGACGGTGTTGTCGCTTTGCTGTAGGTAAGTCCGATCGTCGGCATGGAGACGAAGTAGAGTAGTGCCCGGTTGAGCTCCTCGAGATCTTCCTGTTCCGGTTGCTTCAGATGCGTCGCCAGTTGACTCGCACTATAGGACAGGTCGGGTCGGCAGGTTACTGCTGCGAACAGTAGGCAGCCGAGCTTCTGTTGATACTCCTGGATTTGCTTCGCGGGGAGTTTTGCGGAGGTGCTGTTGTTGTTCCCGTAGCGGTAGGGAGTTGGGACCGTAGTCGGTGTTAGGCCGAATTTCTTCGCGACGGTGCCTGAGTACTTTCCAGCGTGTAGGTAGAACGCCGTGTCGTCTTCGACGACATTCAGTCCTCGGTACTGGGTCACTTCGTCGGACACCGTGAGTGTTAAGTCTTCTTTCAGTTCCCCTTCGAACCAGGTAGCGATGTCGGTAGTGGAGCCGATGTAGAGCAGGTCGTCGACGTAGACGATGAGTAGGATATACTCTCTTCCCTTCTGCAGTCGGTATATCCCTTGGTCATGCGGCAGTTGTAGGAATCCGATTTTTGCGAGACGACCGTGGAGATGCTGCTGCCAGAGCCGCGGGGCTTGCTTGATCCCGTATAGGGATTTTGTCAATTGGCATATTTTCGTGGGGTCGTTGATGAATCCGTGGGGTTGTTCGACGAAAATCTCAGCGTCCACAGGTGCGTATAGGAACGCATTTGCGACGTCGATTTGGCGTAGTGGTAATGTCTTCGTGGCCGCGACGGCGAGTAGGATGCGTAATGAGGTGTGACGGGAGACTGGAGCGAAGGTTTCTGTGTAGTCGGTCCCGTATCGTTGATCGAAGCCTCGTACGACCCATCGAGCTTTGAATCGTTCGATGGAGCCGTCTGAGTTGGTCTTAATGCGGTACACCCATTTTCCCGAGAGGACGTTTTTTCCGTTGATGCTTGTTGCAGGTACCAGTTTCCATGTTTTCCGGTCTTGCAGAGCCTTTAACTCCTTTTCCATCGCTTCCTTCCATTTCGCCTTATGTTCCCCCCCTAGAGCCTGCGACAGGGTTGAAGGCTCACGCGGAGAAGGCGGCGGCGGATGCTGGACGGAGACCCAGAGGCCTAGAATCTGCAGTCCCGTGGGTGTGTGTCGAGGGGAATTTTCATTCCCGGAATAAGCTGCTTCGTCACCGTCTTCTGGGTCAGGTAAGAAGTTGGGACCGATGCGTTCTGAAACATTTGTGTCGACCGGGTGGGGTGTAATGTAACCTTGGTCAGCGAAGTGGTAAAAGGTGTCGAGGTTGTTGCTATCGAGAGGATTGTCTTCGTCGAGTGGAACAGGTACGGAACAGAATGGGAGTGGTCCGGCAGTTTCCGAGGCTTCAGGTACGTCTTCTTCTGCTGCGTCAGCTTCGGCAGCACGGTCGGCGAAGGAACGAAGTCCCGAGAAGCCGTCGGTGGGGTCTTGTGTGTTGGCAATGTTGTCCAGGTAATGCTGCAGCGTCAGTCGCTCGTAGAAAATAACATCACGTGATGCCACGGTATTTTTGTCTTGTATGTCGAAAATTTTCCACGCGTGAAAATGTTTTGCGATGCCGAGGTGTAGTCCCCACCTAGCTCGTTGTGTGAAGCGTCCTGCTCGGGCTGTGTGGGGTCTGTACTGTACCATGCAGCCGAAAACTCGGAGTAATTTTGTGCTGCCCCTTTTTCTTGTCCACAACAGGTGCGGTGATGCGTTGTTGGGAAGTGATGACGAGGACAGCAGGTTGTGCAGGTGAACGGCATGTGTCATCGCGTCTGGCCACAGTGTGGTGGGCAGCCTCATCCCCAGAAGCAGTTTTCGCATTGTCGTCTGCAAGGTCCGGTTCATGCGTTCTGCTACCCCCTGCTGCTGGTGAGCATAGGGCAGAGACACCAGGCGTCGGATTCCTCTTTCCGCCAGATAGGTCCTGAAGCGTTGTGATTGGTATTCCAGTGCACCGTCTGACTGGAAGCTCTTGAGCTTGGTTCCTGATTCTCGTTCGGCGATGGGAAGCCATGTGGTGACGGCCTCGAAGGCTTGATCGCGCGTTTTGAGATTGAAGTGCCAAACGTATCTGGTTGCTGCGTCGATGAACGTGATGACGTAGTTGAAGTCGGCTTCGGTGTCTTCTCGAGGCATGTTTAAAATGTCGCTGTAGACCTTTTCCATCGGAGCGTAAGTAGGTGCGCTTGGGTTGTGATGAGATGGGAAAGGTTGATGAGGAAGATCTGCTTCGGGGCACGTGAAGCACCGTGCTCGTGGTCGTCGAAGTTCTTGGCCGCTCGTCGTTAGAAGGGCGTTTCGTTCTAACACCTCTGCTTGGATTGTTTGTAGTATCGTGCTGTTTGCAGGATGTCCAAGACGTTGGTGCCAGATGTCGTCGGAAGCGCGATGACCGGGCGAGCGGTGGTAGATGTCGGCGTTGGAGAAGAACGCGACGACTGAGGCGGGACTTCGACAAACTTCTCGTGTGATGGGCATAAGCTGGTCTGCTTCGGTTGGCGGTCCTCGGGTCGCTGGTGGTGGGACTCGACTGGGTCCTGCTGCCGATACTGCAGGTGATGGTTTGGTTGGGATACTTGCGGGTACTTGTCTTTCTTGTCTGATAACTGCTAATGCTCGTGTTCTCTCTGCTGCAGGTATGGTTTTGGAGTGCCAGAAGCCATCACTGTCGAAGTCAGGATCAAGATCTGGCGGGTGAGTCCAGGCGGCGAACGATACGATACCGTCGCTGTCGGCAGTACCGCGGTCGGGGACGAAGTCCAACACGAAGACGCCGGACTTCAGGAGGGCACGACCGATGAAGAGGCCGCCCTTCCCGTGGTAAAGCCGAAACTCGTTGGAGTAGGAGTCGCACTCCAGGTGAATCCCCTTGGCCATTAGTTGGCTTACGCTTAGTAGGTTGTATCCCAGATTGTCGACAATGAGCACTTTGTTGAGCTGAAGTATGACGTTTGTCTCCATGGATTGTAACTGAACCACGCCTTGTCTGTTTGTCTTCAGGTTTTCGTTGTTGGCGACGGTGATGACGACGTCGCGGTTGAGGCGTTTCTCCTGTTGCACGAAGCGTCCCGAGGAGCACATGTGTTGACCGCAGCAGCTGTCCAAGAACCAGGTGTTTCGCCCGGTGGGTTCGGCGTTGGCGACCGCAGCATATGTTGGATTGACTTGAAGGCCTTGTGAGCGCGGTGGCGGCAGCTCTTCTTCGTCTGGCGCATAGGTGGGTGGTGATCCGGGTGCGCAGTTGTCGATGTGTACCATGCAATTGATAATGTTTGGTGTTTGTTGTGCAGATGTTGAAGAGCGCCTTGGGGGACTTGCTTGAGTGGAAGCGACTTGTGGGTCTGCTGGACGGTAAACGCGAGGGCGGTTGCAGTTGACCTTGGAGTGCCCGAAAGTCTGGCAGTTGTGGCAGAACGGCGGCACGAAGGTAAGTCCCCTGTTGTCGCGTTCTTGCTTGCCGCGTCGATTGTAGGTGTTGTCGTTTCTTCGTTGAGTGTAGAAGACTAACTGCTGTTGTTTTCTTGGTTGTCTTTCTTCGAACAGCTCCATCTCCTGTTGTTCAGCGTGAAGCTCGGCGCAGAGGTGCATCTCCGAAATTCTTCCGTGGGCGCAAAGAAGCGATCGTGTGGTTCTCCATTCTGGTCCAAGCCCGGCGAGGACAAGTGTCACGAAGCTTTCTTCAGTGATTGTTCCTCCGCACCGAAGCAGGCGGTCGCGGAGGGTCTGGCAGCGACTCATATACTACATCGCCTTTTCCCCGGTCTTCATCTGTATTGTTGTCAGTTGTTGCATGAGTCTGCTTTGTGTCACGCTGTCGTTTGCTTGGTAAAGGCACTTGAGATGGTGCCATGCGAGCTCCGCGGAGTTTCCATAGCTCCTGTATGTTCTGATGCTCTGCTGTTCTTGTGGTGACAGGTTTCTCAGGAGAACCGTATATGCCAGCAGTGACTGATACGTGAAGATTTCTTGTTCCTTTCCAGTGCCGTTGCTTGGGAATGGCAGGGACCCGTTGAAGTATCCCAGAAGATGCGCGGCCTCCATCAGCAGCTCGAACTCGAAGCTCCAGGTAAAGAAGTCGTGTCCGTTGAACGGTGAGGATGTCTGCAGTTTTATCACGTGCGAGAACTGCGCCTGGAGACTTAAGATTTCGTTTGGTGTTTGTTGTGATGCAGCTGCTGTTGGTTGGGCACGGGGCGGCATAAACTCGAACGTCCCCGGTGAAGAGTGATAAGGCGCAAAGGTAGGCGCTTGATTGTGTCGCCCAAACGATGAGTTGTCGAGGCTCATCGGCGCTAATCCCATGTTTCCTCCATTGCTTTGTGTTGAATGCGCAGGTGTCCTTGTCTGCTGCTGCTGGTCGAAGTGCGACATGAAGCTGAAGAACCTTTCCATAAGGTTGGGGTCCACGCTTGAAGAGGGAGATGGAGTCACCATCTCGGGTGTTCTTCCCGTTGTTTCTTGAGCAGTCCCGGTCTCTGTCTGCAGTCCTCAGGTGTGCAGACCAGAGTTGCCGTGTTGAGTTTCTTGGCCGCTGGGTGAGCCCGTAGAGACTTTCTTGCCCTTGCTGTCCATGTCTTGTAATCAATGAAGTCGTTGAATTGAGTTGTAGGTTGTTGATGGAGCGTAGTTGCTGGGATTTTGGTCTCTGACCAGCTCTCATACCATGTTGGGCTGAGAAAAGCCCTTAGGATCTTTCCAGAGACTAAGTCCCAGTTGTAGAATGAGACTTGAGTAGTGCAGCGGAAGTTGAGGCAGTTGAACCCTTGTACTAGTATGTGAGAACAAGTGATTAATTAAAGAAACAAGCATACAGCAATATATAGAAGATAGGAAGGCAGTTGTAGAATACAGTTACAGGAACGGTTTATCGAGTCGCACAGCGACTCGATTGCCGCTTCGGTTACCATCCGTGATGTTGTAACGGTCAGTCGCAACCTCCAGTTGCGACCTTTCGAGTCTTTTCGCATTCTTTGTCCGCCCCCTCGTGTAACCTCCGTTGACTCGCGTGCTCCCCTGTAATCTTCCTCGAGTACAGTGTTACACTTCAGAAACGCTCAAGTCCTTTGAGATATTTCCAACAGTGCCGTTGATGATCTTTAGGCGCAAGCGCCTTCGTAAAGATATCAGCTGTGTTGGCACCGGAGGCCAAGTGTACTACGCGGGCCTGGCGACGCTGCTGTAGCCCGCGCAGGAGGAAGTACCGCAGCTGGATGTGCTTCGCTCTGCCCTCGAGTCTAGGCTCCTGACACAGGAGGATCATGACCCTGTTGTCAGCGTACAGGACCGGGGCAGAGCTAGGCCGCTTACCTAGGTCAGTGAGCAAGAAGGTCAGCCAGCGGAGCTCCTGTGCCGCCATGGCACCAGCGTAGATCTCAGCCTCACAGCTAGACTGGGCAACAGACGAGGAGCGAGTGGACCTCCACGAGATGGCACCTGCACCAAGGCTAAAGCAGTAGCCGTGGGTTGACCGGAGAGTCTCGGTGTCGTCTGCCCAAGAAGCGTCTGTGTGCCCGGTAAGGACCACTGGTCTACGTCCTCCTAGGACTAGCCCCATGCTTGATGTACTTGCTATATAACGCAAAACCCTCTTAGCTGCCGACCAGTGCTGTGGTCCGTGTCTGCCGGAGGCCACAAAGCGAGCCAAGATGCTGAGAGGGTGTGCAAGATCTGGACGAGTGCAAGTCATCAGGTACATGAGGCAACCCACCGGCTCAGCGTAGGGACCACTAGGCTCTACAGCCTCCTCCGGGACTGGGGCAGAGAGTCTGTGGTCTACTGGCAGAGGGGTGGGCTGTGCAGAAGAGAACTGAAGGCCGAACCTGGGAAGGACCTGGCGCACCAAGTGTGATTGTGAGAGAGTGATGGTGCACGCTGCTCTGTCCCTGGAGATCTGTAAGCCAAGGTAGCGGCGCAACTTTCCTAGGTCAGTGCAGGTGTGACTCTTCAGTAGCTCGGCCTTCACAGAGGCCAGCGCATCTCTGTCTGCTGTAGCAAAGACCAGGTCGTCTACGTAGACAAGGATGTAGAATGGAGTCTGGCCGGAACAGACGAAGAGCGAGAGGTCTGCAGACGAAGGGAAGAAGTGCAAGTCAGCAAGTGTAGCACGCAGCGTGTCGTGCCACTCACGGGGCGCCTGTCGCAAGCCGTAGATGGGGTGCCGGAGGAGCCACTCGGTACCAGGGTGAAAGGTACCGGAGAAGCCCTGGGGGCGGCGCAGGTAGTCCTACTTGTGTAGACTGCCTTGGAGGAAGGCTGTGGAGAAGTCGAGGGAGTGCAGCTCGTAGTCACGCTGTGCTGCTACGTTTAGTAGTGCCCGAAGAGTGGTCATTTTTGGGGTCGGGGCGAAGGTCCGAAAGAAGTCCACCCGCTCATGTTGACTGAAGCCTTAAGCAACGTAGCGCGCCTTGAAGTCATGCGACTCTCTAGGAGGGCGCTTCACCTTGAAGAGCCATCGGCGATCGACTACGTTCAACCAAGGAGGGGGAACTGCGTTGACAAAGGTACCGGTGGATCTTCAAGATGCCATCTCTTGCCCCATGGTAGCTATCTCTTGAGAGGCCCAGGGTCCCGAGGTGGCCTCAGCGTAGGTGCGAGGGGTCGGGATGTCAAGGGCGTCTGGGTCACCCTCAGTGACTAGCAGCATGGAACAAAGATGGGGAGCGGCCTCAGAAAGGAAAGCGAGCTCGTATTGCCTCTCCTCTAGGACGTGACTGCCAAGGGCAGCCACACCCCCGACAGGCGGAGGGCAGGCAGGGTCGAAGACCAGAGCGGTGGCGTAATCAAGGCGGCGGGTAGCGGCGAAGTCAGTGACAGCAGCGACAAGAGCCGACAGACTCGAGACAGGAACGGACGTGTCGGTAACAAGAGAGGCAAGGACACGAGGAACAAGGGGACGCGCTGTATGGAGGAAGTCAGAGAACGGGGGTGGGGCCACAACAAGCGACGACGGAGGAGGAGATGGGAGGATTGGGGGAGCACGAGATGCGTGGGAGCGAAGCAACATAGGGTGAGACCGCTGAACAGGGGAGGTAGGATGAGCACGAAACGGACGACGAGACCAGACGTGAGATGGAGGAGTCGGGTCAGGAGAGAGGGGAGGAGACACAGGAGGAGAACGGGGAGGGAAATGAGTCGGAGAGGAGTCCAGGAGAGGAAACACTGGGCTGTAGACTGGGGGAGGAGGAGGCAGCGGCGACAGGGGAGGCACTGTCAGGCGGTCAGGGGAAGGAAGACCGAGGAGGCGAAAAGCGGACACCGGCGGTGGCTGCTGCGACTGCTGCCCAACTCCAACACCAGAACCTCCAGCGACAGCACGACTCCCTTCGAGAAGCTCCACGCCAGCACCCTCACAATGGGAACCCGCTCCAGGACCCGCTCCAGCATGCACGCCAGCACCCCCAGAACTCACAAACCCCAGCAGCGGTGACGACGGCGGCTGCGGCTGCGGCGGCGCAGAGCTGCAGAGGCGGCTGCGGCTGTGACAGCAATGGAGGCAACAAGGGAGGGGAGACCGGGGCGGGGAGGGGCGGGGGAAAAGACTCCACCGAGCCGCGAGAGTCAGCAGACTCCTCGGCAGGGACAACCGATGGGAGGGGGGTGACGTGAGACACACCAGACGGGGCACGGCAGGGAGGGGGAGGAGCACGGGCTACCGGTGGAGGGGGGGAAACCAGGAACTGGGGGGGAAACCAGGAACTGGGGGGGAGTGACGGGGGGACCACGGTGGAGAAAGTGGCGGTAGAAGGAGACCAACTCGTCAAGAGTGACGTC